CCATATGCTCAGCCACACATTCGGATAAACACAGACTTGTGCTCAGTAGAGTTTTTTGAGCTGGAATGGAATTTTTTCTTATCCTTCCTAATTTGCGTTCCCCCTAAAAACCAGTGCTGAATATTTGAAGGCTCTCTGAAATAGCAATGGGAGGGGGAAGCTGTCAGAGAAGAGCAGACTATGTAAACATTGCCAAAATATCCTTTTTCTCCAGAGGAGATGTTTCATTAGATCCCAGTTCCCCCTGTGAATAGAAAAATAGAAGCAAATTTCAGAATAGTCAAGTTTAAATACATTCCATTATAATAAGAAAATATTTGCCCAGATTGTTTTACAAGAGGGCTAAAATACAATATTTCAGTTAAAGGATAACTATTAGAGACCATGTGCACTGAGGTAGTAATTTTGATTTAACCCTTTACTTTGGACAATGTTCATACAAATTCTAGTTTCTCCTTCCCATATTTTTTTCTATAATACTGTTATACATCTTGAAAATTAGCTGATCAGCTGTTGTTGTTAGTAGTTCAAATATATAGTTAAAATTAACAGTCCTTTTAAAAATATTTTCTAAGCCAGTAATAAAAAGCCAAGTGGACCGCTAGAAGATGGAAGCACATAACAGAACTTAACATTGAAATGTTTCTTTTCACCCCTCACCTACTAGTCTCTTATAGACGAGGGTTAGTTTTTTCTGCATAATTCTGGACAGCTTTCTAAATGTGACTACTTATTTCCCTAATTTGTTTGTAAAACTAGATTGTGTTTACTACTGTTGGAAATAGATAGCAGTTAAAATAGCTTAAAATGGGAATGCTTAAAAGTTTTTATTCAATTACAATATAAGCAAATACACACAGAGACACATATACACACATGTACACACACACACACACACATATACACACACACACACACACACACACACATACAAATATACATACAGGCAATTCCCAAGTTACACACATCTGACTTACAAATGACTCATAGTTAAGAATGGGATTGATACTACAGGAAGTGAGAGAAATCTACTCCTAGGAAGGGAAATTCACTCCTGAAAGAATTATCATTGGGAAAAGGTGCCTCCACTGAAGATTTCTTACCAATCCTTGTTTCTACAACAAGCCACATTTTTTAAAATCTAATATCACAGGGACAGGAAGTGGGGTGAAATCTTCAGGCACATACAGCAAAACAAACACCACAAAGGTGTTCGTTCCCTCTTTCCTATGTTATCCAAGGATAAACTATTTATATTTTTGGCTGGAGTTGCACTTAAAAATGTACTTGGTCTGTGGGCTATTAATTGTTTAAGAAAGTTGAAGGGTCAGTAAGCCTAGTTTTCATTGTTGCCTCTTATTGCCATGGTCAGATTTCAATCATTTGGGAAGATCTCCCTTCCCTGCTGTTTTTGTGGCAGTAAATGGATATATTTCTACATTCTCTGAGCAGGAAGTCCTATTTTTGTCATTTCCTCGCCCACACTCATTCCCATTTTGTATCAACAACTGAAGGCAATCTTTTGCTCATGCTCCCTCCCCCCCCAATTGTCTATATTTCACTGTCACCACTTTCCTTGACTTGTTCAATGATGTCCTTCGACCAGTAACAGATTTTGCACAAACACAGCAAACATTTTGAAGCCTCTAGTGAAGATAGTTAATTAGTTGATAACCTAAAAATATTAGATTGCATTTACCTACTACATACTCTGTGTGTGTATGTGTGTACACACACACTAGTGTATATAGTAATATACCTGGATCTTCTCCATATTATAACCTCACAACAACTATGTTGTTTCCTTTTAGATAACAGCCTAAATACAGTTTGTAAACCCAGCTGGAGAACGACACACGCACGCACGCATGCACACACACACACACACACAAAACTGGGTTTCAGTTGATGCTAAAATTCAAACTTAGCTAAAGTAAAATTAATTTAAGTCTGTTTTATTTTTTTAATGTCTAACTTTGTCATAATTTAAGTAATTTTAGATCATTATCTGGTATCACTGTTCTGTCCTATATGCTGTCTACAAGCCAGTGAAGATATCCTTTTCTGACTGAATTACCTTCCCTATGTAAAGTAGCTGGCTTGTCAGAACCATGCCTTTCCAGACTTTATCATGTAAATTCCAGAGAAATGGAGAACAGCTAGAGCATTTGGCACATGCAGATTTCATCTCACACAAAAGTAATGCTAAGAGTGTTTGCTTATAATGCAAACATTTTGTGTCTTTGGCTTTACTAAAGAAGTACTTTCAAAAGACATTTTGAAGTGTCAGTTGTTTACATTGCAATCTTAAATGGATAATTAACTGCAACGTATAAAGGGAGGAATATATTGGTGAGAAATGAGCCAAGCACTTTCTATGGCTGAATCCACACCTGCAACCCCCCCCCAAAAAAAAAAAAACCCATCCAAACCTCAATCCTGAATGTGTGGTCATAATCCAAGCCCTCGGCCTGGCTTGTAAATATATATACTAAACCCCCAACAATGACATCCCTGTTGTTTCTCTCCCGCTTATTTTTTGCCCAGATGTTCTCAATCTGGCTTCTAGGATTTAAGTCTTGATATATAGTGCTACTACTCCTCCTTTCCTATCTGGTCGATTTTTCCAAAATGGGTTATACTCCTCTATTACTACATTCCAATCATGAAACTTGTTCCACCAGGTTTCAGTGATGACGTTTATATCACATTTGCTTTGCCGTGTTAAGAGTTAAGAGTTCAAGTTCATCTTGTTTATTTCCCATACTCTGTGCCTTAGTGTAGAGACATGGAATAGTATCTCCTTATCTACTCAAATTTGCCTTGTCAGTTTAAATGTGTTTTTGCTGTAAAGTGCAATGCTGTGTTGTGAAAAGTGCTTTCATCTTTTATGAACATATTCATAATAATAGTTTAGTTGTGTGTAAAAAGTCTGGGATAAGTAGCTCAATGTAATTGTCTAAGTAAAATAGCCACTTCTCCGTACAAGCAAGTCAGCATTTTGCTTAACACATTTTCAATATTGAAGAATTAAAAAACCAGATTGCATTATCCTTCAGAGCGCATAGCAACTGTGTTGCATGCCAATCAATAGAGATTTTCTGCTGACCTATACTTCACTGATTATTAATTAAAAACAGTATTTACCAAATCATCAGTGTTGTGACTGTTTTTAATAATTATTTCATTGCAAAATATGTCCCATTTCTATATGGAACAGAGCTCATACTTCTGTTTTATTTTTATTTTTTTTGTTTATTATTTGCAGCTGTGATCAGATCAGTGCAGATTCTTCAAAGACTTGCATGTTAAATGTCAAAGAAGTGGTTATGCTTAAGAAGTGTTACTGGGCATTGGCTTGTGTTGCATATTTTTCCTTAAAATACAGATACGTTGCTTTTGAGATACAATCAAGACTTTCAAATTTTGGGCTTGATTCTTACTGGGGTTGTGATTTCCATGCCCAGTGTTGTGTTGTTTCCTTCCCTTACTCTTTCTTTTGCCTTTGTCTGGTCATCCTATTGGTAGCTCTGTTACTCCTTTTGAAAACCATGGCCTCCAGCTAACACAGGCATGGGCAAACTTTGGCCCTTCAGGTGTTTTGGACTTCAATTCCCATAATTCCTAAGATCTGGCAGACTGGCTGGGATTTCTGGGAGTTGAAGGGCCAAAGTTTGCCCATACATGAGCTCGCATCATGGTAGCAGAAGACCATTAGTTTGATGGAATTCATTTCCCCCCCCCCCCCCACAACCTTCCACACCACCTGGCAGTCTTTTGGATAACCAACAATAAACAGTCATCCAATAAACATAACCAGGCTTAGAGGCTGCACTTTCCAGTTATGTTGATGGGAGCAGTCCTGTCAGAGAAATGACTCCATTGGATGTTGGGTAGTGTTAGGAAACCTTATACTTGTCATGTTCCATCTACATATTTGTACATGTGGAGATGATAGAGTCTTGTGCCCCTTCCACTTGTATATTTCCAAATAGCTGTATCATGTGCCAAAAGGATCTGAACCTTTGCAGGATTACATACTGTTGGGCTTTGGTGAAGCTGTAATGTCAGAATATTTTAGCTAATTTACTATACTGGGATTAACACTAGGGTTACATTCTGTTGATGGGTTGTATTATTCATGCTGAAACTATTTTTAAAATGTTTGTGGGGGGGGGGGTTGGGTTTTTTTTTTTAAGAGTGGACCAATTACAAATTTTCGGAATTGGCAAAAAGCGCTAACAAGTTATGGATTTTATACAATGCGTGGTTCAAGGCCTATTGGGCTATATTCAAAATCCTCATATTTTAAGCTTGTCAAGGTTGTTTGCCCACCTGAAATTTAAAATGAGGTGAAATGCCTTTCCCAAAGGCATTTTACAATTGAAATGTAACAAATCTACATACTGTACTGCTTTCGTAACATTAGCATAAACTGACCTGTCCTAGAAAATGTATTCATATCAAATAGAAGTTCCCTTTATTTTTAGCAAGGTGATTAGTTACTGGTGTGTGTGCGTGTGCATCTGTGTGTGTTTGTACACAGTACTGCATTATTTTTACAGGTTTGAAAACCCTGTAGATAAATTTTAGATGACTCAATACTGCCCTCTGGTGTAATGCATAGAACTTTAAGTGTATGTGTTACTTAAGTTGTATTACTGCATTTGAAGTATTACATGTATTCTTACATTTAGATGTCTTGAATAGATGCAGTATATTTGGATTAATCTCTCATCTGATGTTTATATACCTAAATCCTATTTCAACCACTTCGTTTGAAATGTATTTACCGATTAAATAAAGCTGTCAGTTATATTTATTAACTATTAGACCTTTTACTTTCAAAGAGTCAATACTGAGTTTTATTATCCATTTTAAAGGCATCCTTGCTTTACCTTATAACTTCTCACCATTCTTTCCTCTCACCTTTCCTGCTATTCTTGCATCTATTTGTACTGTATGAAGTAATTTCCTTTGCTTGTGTTTTTCTTTACAAGCACGCCTTTCATATAATGATAGAGGTAAGATGCACTGATCATTCTTCATCATTGATTGTGGGTTATATCACTATATGTAAGTGATATTGGGCTGATAATAAGATCAGATATTTACATAATATGGCCAGACAAATAGTAATATACTGGTGTTCCAAAGTACTGATAGATTTCTTTCCTTGTTATTTATCATTTCAGTATTAGTTAACCAGTTGGTTATGGTCTATGGTAGCAATAATGAGTACTTGCAGGAGCTGTAATGAAGGAATATATTGTTTTGCTAAGTGCAATTTATTCAAGAGTTGGTTTCTTTTAATTTTAAAAGTTAGTGGTACTTTTTGCATTTACATAAAGGAATTAAAATATTAGATTAACATTTATGTAAGGGAAAGAACTCCGTGCCATTGATTCTGTGCTTTTTAATAGATTGAAGGATTGCCTAGCTTCCACTTAACTTGTTTTGTTATTTTGCGCAAGTGACATTCAGATCCTCTTCCACTCCCATCTTTCTATTGTGCCACAAAACTTGCTTCAGAGTTGCCTCTGCCTTCTGAAAGAAATGTTTAGGGTATACGGAAAATTGTATTGATTCTTCCAGGAGCAATGGGAACAATAGAAGTACAGCTTTGGTTTCCCACCATTGTTACTAGTTATATACACCATAACACCTTGCCAGTAACCCATTTAACTTTTTTTGCCTTCAAAGTAAAATAAATATACTGTGAAAATGAAATAGAATTGTAAACTATTTTTAGTAGTGTTTAGTAATACATGAGAACAAAAACGCTATTTTTAAGTACACCTGAGCAGTTAGGTACATTCAGAGGAATAGCTGTTTTGTTTTTTTGTTTTTGTTTTGTTTTTGTTTTTTCTCTTTTCATTTTAAACAGTAAGCCCCACGTGCCATATCATACTCAACATTTGGCAGTGCCCTCAAGTTCAAAAGTAGTTTTACAAATGGCATAACTGGCTGCTGTTTGAGAAGCACCCAAAATGGAAATCACATTAGTCAACCAGTCCTTTGAGTACTCACTATCATTTTATTTCAGTTAATACTTCTTCAGTTTTATTAAGCAACTTCACATTTTAGTTACTATACACAGGAACCAAAGTAGTGTGATGCTTTTTTCCCCAGTGTAAAACAATTAAGACGTCCACTAGAATAATTTTTGCTCAATGAAAACACCAATGTTATCTTAGTTTATCATTAGTGCTTTGTTTCCAAATGCAACAAAGCCTGAATACATGCAGCTCAGTTTGTTGAAATTAATGCCAACAACAAAAACTTCATTTTTATATCCCGCCACCATCTCTCCGAAGGCACTCGTGATGGCTTACAGAACATAAAATAAAAACGGAACATAAAATAAACACAGTATAAAATACAATAAGTAAAACACATAAAAAATTGTGTTTGTGTAAAACACAAAATTTAATTATCCTTAATTTTTCTCTTCCCTCCATTTTTACTCCAAGGAATATGACCTAGGGTGGTCAGGGGAGATGATGACTTATTCCACTCTTAGATACTAAAAGGTGCCATTGGGTCAAAATATGAAATACTTTATTTGTTAAACTTATCCTTTCCATAAATAAAGGATCATATGGGATTCTTATGTGGAATAGATGGACTTGGTTGGGAAAAGATTGGTAATAATCAGTGTGGTCAGAAGGCCACACTGATTTAAAATACATCCTTACATATAGAAGGAGAAGGAGGAGGGGCAAATGGTGGTGGCTGTGATTAACCATTAATTCTAACGGAAGCTTGCTCCCCTCCCATGTACAAGGTTAAAGTCTCTCTTAAGATTTTGTTATGAATTTAGATAAAAACTGGACTATTCAAAGTTGCTGTGTGCCTTGAAATCATTTCTAGCTTATTGCACTCCTAAGGCACCCATCAAGGAATGGTTTTTGGCAGGATTTATTCAAAGGGAGTTGGCCTTATTCCATGGCTTTTTTTGAGAGAGAGAGAGAGAGAGAGAGAGAGAGAGAATGTGTGTCTCCATGGCTGAGTGGTAATTCTTACCCTGGTCTCCAGAGTCGTAATCTAACACTCAAAACACAATATCACAATAGTTCTCAGAGTACTTGMAGAATAACTTGTACTCTGTCTTGCAGCCCCTGCATTGTTACACCATAAGCTACAGTAAAAGGCCTCAGCAGTCTTTAAAAAGGAAACGTGTGTATATATGGGGGGGGGGTGTACCATTTGTTAAGGCATAATTGCATTGGTTGGGTGGTGCTGGTTATAATGCCCCCCCCCCAATTTGTTTTTTTTTTTAAAAAAAAATCCTTGTGGTTTTGAGAGTTGAAGGGCTTTTATAGAGTCTAAAGAGCTGCCATTAGGGGGCCCATTGCTGAAGTCAAAAATATATAGATGAGAAATTATCATTAAGGTAAATGAGGTTGAGTCCGCTACCACTATCTTGCTCTTGAATTTTACCAATGGTGATAGGCCTCAAGCCTGCTGATGCATAATGCTGTCTTAAGTACACCAGCATAGGCAGGAGATAAAAGGCCTCGGGTGCAACTGCCATAAAAGTAGTATGGCATTAGAGCTGGCAAATCTAGTCTGCTTCTTACCACTGCATAATTTTGGAAAAGATGCAGTTACTAGCAGGATTCCAGCTCTAGTAAGCTTATATCTATGCTCCTACCGGTTGTAAATAATATTTTCAGTTCAACAAGTAAGTCTCCTAAGAGTGTAAGAGCTAACTCTCACTGTAGCAGTGATGGTTTGTCGTTGAACTATTTAAGGTGAAAAAATGCATGGAAATATTGTGGGGTTTTCTGTATTATAGATATTTTGAGGAGGTTTGGGGAGAAAAGGCAAACTGAACCTGTAAAGTAGCTCGAGATCTGCATGCAGTTTGCATGCTATATTTTCTCTACTCTTCATTGAATTGTACTTTTGTCTATCGGAATGCTACAGTGAAATAATCATTATCTTTAATATTAGATTTCTGATGAAGCCTATGGACTTTAACAGTTTATCTTCTGTTTTTAAGGATCCTGGACCACCCCCTCCATCGCCTCTGATGGGCCTCAAGCCACTGCAATTACTTGAGGTCAAAGCCAGGGGAAGATTTGGCTGTGTCTGGAAAGCTCAGTTGTTAAATGAATATGTGGCTGTGAAAATATTCCCAATCCAGGTATTTATTTACCTTCAAGTTCCATATTATCTTGACTTAAAATTAAAACATGAATTAAAATATATAACTGCGAAAATTTGTATTTAAATTCTTTTATCAAAATGCAAGTTTAAAGATGCACCACATTTTAAAAAGAAAATAATAACATTGAATTGGAATGTCACAGTTCTATTTAATGAGTATCTTTCAGAAGAAAAGTAGTATTTTGTATAATCGATAGATATATATATATTGATGGGATAGTAATTGTTATTGTTGTGTGCTTTTCAAGTCATTTTTGAATCACGATGGCCCTACCTTTGGGTTTCCATTGCAAGATTTATTCAGAGGGGGCTCTCTGAGGTTGAGAGCGTGTGACTTCCCTAGTGTCACTCAGTGGATTTCAGAAGCTAATTGGGAATTTGAATCATGATCAAGCAGAGTTCTAGTCTCAAGCCAATCCACCACTCTGGGTCATCGATAAACTGTTACCAAAACATTTTGAGAGTGTCCAAGTTATTGTGTAAAATGGCTGCTAGAGAGTGGACAACTCGCTAAAATCATGCTTGCAAAGTTGCAAGATGAATAACCTTCCTAAGAAGTTGAAGGCAAAATATAGAAAAGTCTGATTTGCAAAACACAGAATCATTCATTTTAATTCACTTTGTCTTTAAACAAAAAAAAAATCTGCTTTACAGATGTGAAGGCAATGTTCATAAATTCTGTGTTGCCTGGTTTTCTTTCTGTCATCCCATTCCCTCAGTTTTTCTGCTAGCTAGCAAGCCTGCCTACTCGTGGTCAGCCTAAGATATTTTGCACTTCCCTGCCCATCCCAGGGTAACCTAATCATCCTCCCTCTTTTTCATTGTAGCTATATATGGTTCTTGTTGTTGTTGTTCTTGTTGTTACTTACACCTTGCTTTTTCTCTTCATAAAGGAGACTTAAAGCGACTTACATTAAAAACATTTCAGTACAATTTAAAATCTAAAAATATACAAACATGAAAATAGAATTTAAAATCAATGGTATTAATGAAAAGATCACAGTTAAAATCCTTAAAATGTATTCAAACCTAAAACCACAGCATCCCTTGACTTGATCTTAAAAATCTTCTTTAATATATGATCTGGTTGACAGGGAATCACATTCCAGGCAGTCACCACATTACAGACATGGTAGGTTCTGTAGGTTTGTTCTTATGTTGAATTTATATGCAAGTCAGAACAGGCACATTTTTTTAAATTGTCACTCCAGCCAAAACAATTTTTTAAAAAACCTTTGAATCATAGGGAAGGATTAACACTCTCGTAATGTTTGTTTTTCTGCCTGTGCCTCTGTTTAGAAGATTTCACCTCACTGGTGTCTGATACTGTGATACATTGTTCATGTACAGTGCAGAACAACAATTTCTATTTCTGAGAATATACTAAATTTAGTCTCATGAGTCTTCTGATGTTTCCTCTTCTCCATGAATGGAAGCAAATTTCAAGTTTACTTTTCATATGGAACAACTTGATATATTTATATTGAAATGCTGAACCCTTTAGGTTGCAAGCAATTTGTTTATTGGTGGCAAACGAGTCATCAGGGTTTTCTTGTCAAGATATGTGCAGAGTGGGTTTTCCTTCCTCTTCCACTATTCTCAAATATACATATGTTCAAAGCGGTTCACAATATAAAACAGACATGAAACTAGACAATTAGAGTAAATAGCAATGGGATGCTTAGGTTCAGGGTATAAATAAAATATGTTGTCATGCGTGATACTTTTAAGTTCTCAACATGTCTACTATTGATATCACTCTCCGTATGTTGTTGCATTGCATCTCCTGTCAGTCCTTGGCAGCGAAGCCAATGGTGGAGAATAGTCACAGTTCAGTATATTTCTTGCTGTAGCTCAAACTCAGAAGACCCTTCTGAGTCCATAATTATATTGCTGAGTGTTGTGACCCTTGTTAGTATCCAGATGGAGTATTGTGAATATATTAATTTGCATTTTTTTGTTTTAGGACAAACAGTCATGGCAAAATGAATATGAGATATATAGCTTGCCTGGAATGAAACATGAAAATATACTCCAGTTTATTGGTGCTGAGAAGCGAGGAACCAACATTGATGTTGATTTGTGGCTAATAACAGCATTTCATGAAAAGGTGTTCATTTTGATTATTTTTCATTTTCAATAATGTTGTTTTCATAACTCTGTTATGAAACCGGTCCGAATCCCTCTTTGAAGGTGAGAGGGTCGGTATATAAAACCTCGAAATAAATAAAATAATAATAAATAAATCCTTTCCATCCATGAAAATGTGCTTTTTAAATGATCAGATTCCAATACCTTTTAATTTAACATTGGGTTCTGTAGCTGAGGCATTGGAGATTTTTGTTTCCGTGGAATTTGCCACCCTGTGTTCTCAAAGGTTCACAGAAATACTGTGGAGTTTTGGATATCTGTCCTTCTGGGACTGTAATAATAAATTGGATGTTGTCCTTATGAGTATTCTTTCATGGGGATTTTTGTATGTGTTTCTAAAGCTATGGGCAGATTATTAGTAGCTGCATAAACATATTCTTGTTGAAACATGGTTCCTGACAAAATAAATATGATAAAAAATTCATATTGAGAGTTTAGAATAATTTTTCACATCACAGCTGGAAATGGCAACCCCAAAGTACACTTTTATATCAGAATAACTGCACTCAGAATATAGACACAAACTTACAACAGTATGAGCTGTTGTTTATGTGCATCACCAGTATGCACATGGCTCTCACATTTTATATAGTGAATAAAAAGAAGCCTGTGCTGCCTAAAATATCCAAAAACAGAGATTTACATTTCATTTGATTTTACTTGAACTCAGTTATGCTACATCTTGTAGAATTTTGTTTGGAAGGAAGAACTATACTGAGAAATATAATTTTTGAAATCATCCTTTTTAGGGGTCACTTACCGACTTTCTGAAGGCTAACGTAGTCTCATGGAATGAACTCTGTCACATTGCTGAAACTATGGCTAGGGGTTTGGCTTACCTTCATGAAGATATCCCTGGTTTGAAAGATGGACATAAACCAGCTATATCCCACAGGTATATTATTTTATATATTATCTAAGCAGTTGTTAGTACATTTTAAATACAGGTTGGATATGAATTCTGCAGTATTTTAGAGTTACGGAGTTTAATTTATTTTTTATATCTGTATGATTGCAAGAAAAGCATGATGAGTTGAATCAAGCATTACTCCTATACAAACAGAAGGGTTCCTTCCATTGGTAGTTAAAGCCAATTGAAAGTTTCTGATCTAAATGAAGAGAAAGTGAAGATGGGATTGTCATTATACTTCTATTCTCCCTGCATCATTCAGCACCACTTCCTGTGTTCCTCTGACAATCTCTCCAACCCTTAAGAATAGTTTTTTAGGGATCTGAAGGCGAGGTAATAATGAAAATCACATCTGCTGACTTTGGTTCTAGCCCAGTGATCCCAATTATTTTTTAAACCGAAAATCTGACAGTGTTGAAACAGTGTCAGCTACAAATTCACTTCTAGCATGTTGGTTACAATTATAGAATTTTGCAGTTTTTGTTATGGTAGCAATTTAAGTCTGTTAATTATGTGAATTGTTATCTAAAGTGTTCCTCGTGAAGATATTAGCCAGAATCATCTTCATATCTTACACTAGTGTTATATGAGAGTTATGCCAGCCAAAGTACTTTTTTCCCCCTCTTTTTTGTGTCAGGAGTGACTTGAGAAACTGCAAGTCGCTTCTGGTGTGAGAGAATTGGCCGTCTGCAAGGACGTTGCCCAGGGGATGCCCGGATGTTTTATCATCCTTGTGGGAGGCTTCTCTCATGTCCCCACATGAGGAGCTGGAGCTGATAGAGGGAGCTCATCTGCGCTCTCCGGATTCGAACCTGCGACCTGTCGGTCTTCAGTCCTGCCGGCACAGGAGTTTAACCCACTGCACCACCGGGGGTTCCTATAAAGTACTTCTTATAACAAGGGGATATCCCTTTCACCAGCTCTGTACTCTGTAACTAATGACAAAAGAAATTTGGACCTCTAGCAGGTGATAGCTGCTTTTTTGTCCCTGGCTATGAAATAGCATCTAGATGGCACTAAGTGAACCTCCACTCCCCAACCACTGAGGACTGTAAGGGTCTAACTTGGTGATTCCCAATGCTGTTGCATAGCTGGAGAACAAGGACTTATTTTGGCCCTCCAACATAGTATGTTTACTGATTATTTTACAATTCAGAATATGTCATATTAGGTGACATGATTTAAGTTAGTCTTTAATGTACAGATTAGGCCTTTGTGATGAGGTGGTGCAGTAAAACATATGTAGTTAGCTTAGGCAAAGGGCAGAGTTAGTGGAGCCATTGGTACGTTGATACCAGTTTTAATATTCTTAGCAGAACAATCAGGTTTGTAGCTTTTTTACACTTTTTTGTTACACATTACAGATATAGAAAGGATCTAGTTGGTTTTTTTTTTTGTAGTCATACACTGGATTCCCCTTTTGAAAAGATAGAGGGTGTTTTGTGGAATTCTCAGTGGATACTCAGCCAGCCCATAGGGCTTAGCTTCAGTGGGGTTATAGGTAGTTAACTGTTGTGTGGTGCCTGCTGTTTGGCCGTGTTATAGCAATACACATCACCCCAGTGATTCCAGCCATGAAAGCCATTGATGATACATTGCACCCAAGTGACTTAATGCTGTAGGGTAGAGTTGCGTATATTCACTTACCAGCAGTGATGCTCTATTGTGAAAAAACGGCAGTCATTAAAAAGAAAATATTGCTGGTCTTCTCCATTGTATGCAGAATAACAACCAATGGTTTCTCTATTGTGAAGTCTTTTTCACATAGTGTCAGTGGTTCGCTTCTTCTGCCTTTAACCCTTTAGTCCTGTGCTTGGAGAAGAAGTGGGCACTTTTTTTGCTACAAAGTGCTGCTTAAAACCAAATTGCAAGATACAAAACCAAGGTCGGGCTTAAATGTGCCCTAAAACCAAAACTTTCTAAACTTTGTGTGTAAGAATGATTGATCTTTGTGTTTTTTTTCCCCAAGGGACATTAAAAGCAAGAACGTATTGCTGAAAAATAATCTTACGGCTTGTATTGCTGACTTTGGCCTTGCTTTAAAATTTGAGGCTGGGAAGTCAGCAGGCGATACACATGGTCAGGTGGGTATAAAGAGCCAGCTAATCTGTAATTGGTGCCATATTTTGTACCTGTTCTCTATTACAAATAATTTTGAATTGCTAAAGGCCGATTTACCTGTAATTTTGATTACATTTCCTTGTGGTCGCAATTATGTGCCTTGCTGTTTAGTATTTCAAAAACTTCTAGAACTAAGCAGAGCCAGTAGATCCTAGCAGTATGTAGGATAGGGGTAAAGTCTTCAATTGGAACATCAGGAAAAACTTGCTGGATCAGATTGAAGACCTGTAGTGTTTAGCTGATCATTCCATTCCCACGGTAGCCAACTAGTTGAGTATAAGAAGCTTGTCAGCATAAAGTTACTAACACTGCACACTCCATTTCATGTATCCAGCAGGCATACAGAGGCATAGAGCCTCCAAATTACTGAAGGCAGTATACAGTACACTCAATAATAAGAATAAGAATAATATTTATTTGTATCCCACCACCATCTCCCCGAAGGGACTCGGGGTGGCTAACAAAGCACTCAAGGTGTCACACATAAAATAGAATTACATATCACCAAAACTACACAGTTTGACAGAATGCAAACAATTAAATTTAATAGCTGTTGATGACTCTAGTTTCCATGACTTTTTATTCCTAGCAATCATTATATCTTGGGTAATGAATTCCACAGTTTATGTGACGTTTTTTCTGTCCTGAATCTTACAGCTTTAGAGGATGACCCAAGTTCTGATATTGCAAAGTAGAAAGGAAAAAAATTCCACTATTTGCTAGGCCCACACCATGTACAATTTTACACATGTTTTCATGTCTCCACTTACTTAGGATGTTTATTGCATTTTTTCTAAGTAGATTACTTCAAACCTGTCATAATTGTTCCAATCCCTTGATCATATTGGCTGCCTTTTTCTGTACCTTTTCCATCCCTGAATATATTTTTTCCCGTGAAATAAACATAATTTTACTTAGTGTTCTAGATGTCATCACACCATGAGTTTCTAGAACAGTGGCTCTCACCCTATGGGTCCCCAGATGTTTTGACCTTCAACTCCCAGAAATCCTAACAACTGATAACTGGCTAAGATTTCTGGGAGTTGTAGACCAAAATTCCTGGAGACCCACAGGTTGAGAACCACTGTTCTAGAAGATCAATTTGATTTTGGTAGTTTCATTTTGAATTCCTTTTCTAATTTAAATAGGAATGTACCTCACTTCCCTGTAATGCATAGAAATTTCCACACAAATTTAAACCAGAGATTTTGTCTCACTTGTAGAAATGTAAAAACCTGGCAGAAAAAAACCCAGAAAAATACACCTCTCCTTATTGGGAAGTTGTTTTTTTCTTTCGGAAAAGTTGAAACCAACATTTATGGAATATTATATTTCAGAATGATGAATTTAATGTTTAAGACAAGGTAGTTACACATATACTGCTGTAAAAGTCATTTTTAAACATTGTGTAGGAGGACAATCTTTATGTAAGATAGTATACAGTATGGAATCATTACAATTCCTGGCCTTTATCTCATGTTCTCAGTTCTTTTTATAGGAATGAGTGCTGTATGTCTGATATGGAGAACTAGTGAAGACAGAACAATTTTTAGGGCAGTTGGTGGTTTCTTTTTTCTAAAGAGGTTCCACATTGTTGCTTGCAGTTTGTGGTTTGATTTTAAATTGTTGAGTTTGTAATTACATTATGAATAAATTGGACTTTGAATATCTTGTTAATTTAATGTTAATTTAATGGCAATACAAATGATATATAATGCATTTTACAATACTAAGGTAACATTCAAACTGCAAAAGGTGGTATTATTCAGTATTACTGAAAACCCAGGAAAAACATCTCCAGTCCTATTAAAGGCTATCTTATGTGATTGTGACTTCTCTGGGTTGAGGGTTCTTCTAAGGCAGTGGTTCTCAACATGTGGGTCCCCAGATGTTTTGGCCTTCAACTCCCAGACAATCCTAACATCTGGTAAATTGGTTGGGATTTCTGGGAGTCATAGGCCAAAACACCTGGGGACCCACATGTTGAGAATCACTGCTCTAAAGAATAATACTGGCCATCAGTACTATTACCTTGAAAAGACATCTTGCATTTATTTGTAAGAAAGTATTGAATATGTTTTCTATTTAGGTGGTAAACTATCCTAAAGAAAAGTATGGCTATTAACATTTAACACTAAAAGACATTTTTTGCCATTTCTTTAAAATGTATGTTGCGCAGTTTTGTAATTGAAGTTAGTATTGCTGATCATTAACTCTGAGTGGCTATTCCCCCCTCCCCCAAAGGTTGGCACCCGAAGATACATGGCTCCCGAAGTGTTAGAAGGTGCTATCAACTTCCAAAGGGATGCGTTTTTGAGAATAGATATGTATGCCATGGGACTAGTCTTGTGGGAACTGGCATCACGATGTACTGCATCAGATGGTAAGTAAAGCTGTTTTTGAAATATGTGGTGGAAATATTTCATCCTCAGATGTTTCTGTATGATGGATTAAATCACTCCCGCATTTCTCATAAAGTGTATCATAAAATAAGTTTATACAGGATGCATCTTTCAAGTATCTTTTTGTCAATAGCCAGGCCTTTCAATATTTAAAGCAATGTTGATATCTAAGTGCAGATATAAAAATCTGCTTAGGATATAAACTTTACTGTACAAGCTTTAGAGACAGGAAAAAAAGATCTTTGCTGGTCTCAGCTGAGAGAGTTAACAGTATTTGGGAAACCCCATTGAGAAACATACAAGCTGGCATTAGAGAACTAAGAGTTTTTGTGCTTCAGAAAGTATCTACTCAGTATAGATATGTCTTTTCCATAAAATGTATTTCCATAAAATGCATATTTTTTGCACAAAATGTATTTCTGCGCAGAAAATGTGTTTCTGTGTAGAAAAATGTGTATTTATAGCTCTTAAATCCCCTCCCTCCTGTCCTTTAGAAGGATGGTAAAAACTTGGCTGTGGGACCAAGCTTTCGGGACAGTGCAATAAAGCAGCGATACCTTACCAGGCCAATTAGATTATACGCAGACGATCAAGACGGTTTTTTAAACAGTGTATTTTAATACTGAGACAAATGTTTTTAATGTTTATGTATGCATCTAATGATATCATGTCCCGGCACTGAATGTTTGCCGTATTTATGCTGTGCCCTGAGTCCCCTTTGGGGTGAGAAGGGCAGGATAGAAATGTTTTAAATAAATACATAAATCCTTGTGAACTAGTAATTGGCTTCCAAACTAGTTGTGTGTTTTGTTTAAATTTGGAAGCATTTATTTTTCAAGGGATTTCCCCCATCATTGTTCTACCAGATTTCAGTGGTTAAAATCAGCTTCACAGTATCATGGCGCCCTAACTACAGGGGTTATGCATCTCCCATACAAGATTCTGACCAACACAACTGTTGTTGTTGCTATTGCTATTGTTATTATGCAGGACCAGTGGATGAATATATGTTACCTTTTGAGGAAGAAGTGGGCCAGCATCCTTCTCTTGAAGATATGCAGGAAGTTGTTGTACATAAAAAGAAGAGGCCTGTCTTGAGAGAGTGTTGGCAGAAACATGCTGTAAGTAGCATAATCAGACCAAGAGAAATTAAAATCATAATGATCTATAGAAATACTTTAAATACTGGCAGCATTCATTAAAGGCAGATATTTTAATAAAGTTGTAACTACAGTTGAAGTTTAATTAAGTTTCACATGTTTGATGGGTGTAGCATTATGTTTAGTTAGTGAATGTGTCTATCCTGAGTTCAGAAAATGAAAATAATTAACCAAATAGTGTGAAGCATTTTGTGAAATACATCTGGTGATAAAATGATTAAAATATTTTGTAAGAATGCAAAATCTGAAGCAGATCTATCAGCCATCACATTTTTCCAAGATTGCTTTTTCTGTGAATGCTGGCTTTCTATATCACATCATTGCAAGTTCCTATTTTTTAACTGTGTATACCTCCAACACATTTTACAATAACACCAAGCTTAAAAAAAATTAAAAACAGAAGAGCTTGACATTCTGACAGTAAAGTTGCTGAAGAGCATCAGACATTATAAGAACAGCCCTTAAAATAGTCACATTTGACAAGGTTGTGAAAGGAATACAAAAATATACTGGCAATGTTTCAGGAAAGAATTTACATAAGGCTGGTCCCCAATCATTGAAAAATCCTTTTTCTGAATTCCATGCATTGCAGCTTCTGAAAAGAAAGGAATCTTAACAGGGATCTCCTTATTGATCTTAGTTAAGTTCTTCCTGTCCATTTCAGGGTCGTACTGAAAGTAATGCCAGCCCGGTCATATCTATTAACAATTTGAGAGATATGCAAGTCCATACATGTGTACAGTTGCTCTTTGTCTACAACATATTCAGAATACACTCTGCACTAGTGGCAATGTGTTTACTCCACCTTTTGAACACACTCATCAAATCCACTTTGGAAAAACATATGCATGCACTCCCTTTTGCTCTGTCTCATCATGTCTTCGAATTTTTCTACATCATCACAGCACCATTCCCATAAGCTTTCCATCATCCAACCAAACAAATGAAAGTATGAGAATTCTATATAGGGGATATTAGGTAAATATGGTATCACTGGCCATCCCATTTATGCAAGAGCCTGTGATGTTGCCAAAGAAGTGTTCGGTCATGCATTATCATCATGTAATTGAATTGCATGTAGCTGTTTCTGTGGCATTTCCTTGTGGATGACTTCTTGAAGTTTTTGGAGTGATGCAGTGTAGCCATTGCTGTTCATTGTTGTCCCACACTCCAGGAAATCAAACCGCATAACCCCCTTGTCATTCCAGAAAACATTCACCAGAATCCTCTGCACTGAAAGCTGGCTTTTGAATTCCTTTGCTCCATGACTGATTCTTGGTCTCTGGATCATACTAGTATACTAGATAACCTCATCAGAACAAACATTTTTTGTGAGGTTCAAATGATGCCAACAGTTCCAAACACACATGTTTCTTCTCTTTCAAATCAGTTGTTAATGAGGAACTCACTTGGCACACACTTTCCTGTATCCAAGGTTGTGGATAATTGCTCAACAGCACTGTGACCACAGCCAGGTTACTCAACTATCTCTCAACTGCAAATCAGTTGTATACTGATATGCACAAATCATGTTATTCATCCTGTTTTGGTTTTCACTGGTAACTGTTGTTGATAGCCATCCACAATACAATTTGTCTTCAATACTAAGCCTTTTCACCCTTCTTCACACATTACTTACCACACACATTGCTGAGCCTTCTGTGGTTGTTGGCAGCAGTGCATCCTCCTTTGCTCAAGAACTTGATGACACTTCTTTGTTTGTGCTTCATATCCATTGTTATGCAACAGTAGAAATGCAGAAATTATGTTAGTCATGAAGTAACAATTACACTTTCTGTTGGTGTAAGTAGCATCGTGTTCGGATTAATAGTTTCAGAAGCACATTGGCATTATTTCAATATGGCCCTTGTAGTAATTGGCAATCTGGGTTAGGCATGAAAGTTGTTGAGTATCTGGTGGAGATAAACAAGCTTGGATCCAGGTATATGCTCTGCAGCCTGTCCTCACCCAAGGAGTATGGTGCCGTTATGCACCAGCTTCAGCTTCTGAACCATCTTTAGTAGCAATCCTCTGTAAAGTGTTCATGCCGGCCAGCTGTGACATTATTCTTAACCAGTTTAGGTCAGCTATTGAAAATTTCTTGCAGATATATTCTGTGATTCCCATTAGTTAGGGGTTTTTGTTTTTGTTTGGTTTTTTGATTTGTTTTGTTTTGTATTTAATGTAATGCAGGTTTTATAGTTGTGTTTTTCTCTTTAGGGAATGGCAATGCTCTGTGAAACAATAGAAGAGTGCTGGGATCATGATGCAGAAGCTCGATTGTCAGCAGGCTGTGTAGAGGAACGCATTATTCAGATGCAAAGACTAACAAACATTATAACAACAGAGGACATTGTGACAGTTGTCACGATGGTAACAAATGTGGACTTCCCTCCCAAAGAATCCAGTCTATGATAGTTGCACTGGTCGCACACTTTGACCAATAAGACTCTGCGCTGGAGCTGCTAAGCTAAGGGGCCTGATTCTGGTCAACTCTTTTCTGTGTGATATGTGGAAGGAATGGTAAGTCTGGCTTTGGAGTGTCAGTGGGACGATGCTTCCCTGCCCTACTCCAGACATGGATCCAGGAGACTTACTGCATTCCTTGTATACAACAACTGAAGGACATGGGACTGAGAGAAAAATAGCAAGATGATGTTAACAAACTTATTTGAAGAAGAACATGGACCTATCCTGGCTAGTCAAACATTTTAAAACCTGACATTGTATTTCTTAACATGTCAGACTAATTCCTTAAAATGAACTACTGCTATTTTTTTTAAATCAAACATTTCATTTTCCGATTTAAGAAAAAGGGTTACTTGTTTTTATTGCATTTGCTGTTGTGTTTATATAAATGACTATTGTAATGCCAATATGACACAGCTTGTGAATGTTTAGTGTGCTGCTGTTCTATGTAATCAAAGTGGGATCTAGCAAAAAGGCTTCCAAGCATTACTTAACCTCCCTCAACAAGGTATACCTCAGTTCCACCTATGCTTCATCATTGAATTGACAACACTAACAAAACCAAGATAATAAATTGATCCAGATTTTGTAAATGGTGTATTACAGATTCACGGTATTGTTTTTTTAAAAGATGGTAAGATATGATTCATGCCAACAGTCAGTGGCCATTCCTGAAATTGCGTGTTAACCTTTCCTTGTTCTATCTTGTGTATAAAAATGTATTGTGTGTTCAATGGAAAACATCCCCAATTTTTAGTTTAAAGCTTTATTTTGCCTCCAGTTCCCAAAACGTTGCATACATTTATTTTACAAAATATTTAGGTTTGCTGTGTCTGATGGTAATTTTAAATTTTAAGCATGATTCTTTTTTTAAAAAGAGATTTATGAGAGCAATGGCACTGGAAAACTCTTCTTTGGAAAGAAGCCTTTTTCAATTTTATATATATGTAAATGTTCTGCCTCATGTATTTTGTTTTACTGAACAGGAGACAGTAGGTTGGATGCAGACTGAGGTGTGTGCAATGAGGCTGGGAGAAGCAGTCATCCCCTTCTCCAGCTTCCCGGGAGCACTCTGCCAACTCACTCCTTTTTGGGGGGCAACCCATGAGTGAGGAATGGCTCGTGCTGTTGCACTTGCCAAACGCTGAATTCAGCCTATTCCCCACTGTGTTACTGTTTCAAGATCACCTCAGGAATCTTCACTACCCTTGCTCCTTTGCAACTTCACAGTGCTTCATTTTTGTTCCCCAACTTATCTGAGTAATATTTTGCCCGTGATTCAATACATTTTCCCTATGTTCACAAAAAAATTAAATTAAAGTTAGGTAATTGCTTTTTAAAAACAAACTTACCATCAGATATGCAATTATTTCTGTTAATGTAGCAGTTGAACACAAAGAAAAAGCCCTTCCACATTACCTTTAAATTGCTTTATTTAATAGGGACAGGAGCTTAAGATATGAGCCTTGCCATGAAAACTCTAGCTAAATGGGCAGGAAGTAGATAGGTGCCAAAGTACTTTTGAGAAGTAATAACACTACAGTTATTTGAGCAATTGTATGTTTGCAGGCCAAAGTAAGTTAACTCTAAAACTAAAGTACTGAACCAACAGTAGCCACTAAGTATTATGAGATTCTGTACAGGTCCTTAAAGAAGACACACATCATGCATTACATTATAAAGAGTTTGGGGTGAGGTTTTTTGTCACAATCAAAAGTTCGCTGTGAATGTTTTCTTCTTAACAGTTATTTATTAAACCACGCCGTTTTCTTACATATTGATCTCTGGGAACAAAGAGGAATTTATTTATAAGCAAGATTTCTGTGTCTAAACTCTAAAACAAGGAGAATGGAAACAGCTGAGGAGTTTGTCTCTTAGTGACCCAACCAGAGATTACTATTTTGTCTCATGGTTTTGTAGTAGCCGTAAGACCATTTGGGCTACCATTATTTACTCTTGGGCACTTGTTGCTAGTTCCGTTCGTTGACAAACATAGGAGGACTGTTTGAGTTGTGTTTTTTTAAAAAAAATAAAGAGGAATACTTTGATTATTTGTGATTTCAGGCATGAATACAGCAATTCCAACTCAAGGAGTTGCACCTAAAAATACCTGAATTGTATATTTGATTCCTCCTTAAAATGTTTATACTAGGAAGATGCATAAAGTTTTAGCAATGGACATCCAGAAACATGTAAATATTAAAAAAAACATTTATGTCGCAGACATAGATGAAATGTTTGTTTTGGGGGTCTCCCCTCCAATCTTTTCTAGAGCAGCTTTCTATCAAACACAGATTTACACCAGTATGACCCAAACCAGATGGGAACATTTTTCTCATGTATTTTTCCTAATACATTTCTCATTGCAGGTCATATAGGGGAAATAATCAAAACTGACAATCAGTGTAATGCTTCTTCATATATGTAGGTAGGTATATATATATATATATATATATATATATATATATATATATATTACAAATCTCTCTTGGAATCCCACAACTAACTTATTTAATGTTTGTAAAAAGAATGATACCATATGTCAGAAAATACTTTTGACAAATCTCATTTCTTTGGGTAGGATCTGTGAAATTGCTACAGTTCAGACTGTTTGTGTCCAAATATAAGACAGTCACATCTTGCAGGGAATTTCAAATTCTTTGTTTCCAGCTCATCAAGAAAACAAAGGTGGATAAGTTTGACAAGAACGTTTAAGACAAGAAACGTGTAAAAGTTGGGGGGGGGGGTCCCCCAAAAAAGAAGAAGGTCTGAGCTGGGGAAGGTGTTTTGTTTTCTGACAGGTATTGTGACCATTGTGGCTTTTTGTATTTGAATCATACCGCTTATGTGGATCTGGCCAGCTCTGGTGGTTTACCTTGTATCTTTGAACTTGTGAAGAAATGCTAGGGCCCTGGCTCAAACTTTCATTTGTCTTTGGTTTGCCTATGTCTACTTAGTTGGCTGCCATATAATTACCACAGGAATTAAGAGATTAGTCAGTTCTGTGATCAATTTAGACGTCTAAACCCTGCAATACCTTTTCAGTTTGTGTTAGATGCTAAGAACTGTATATCACATAATGCATGACTACTCTTTGTACAGTTGCTAAATATAACTTAGCATTTCAGAACAGATTGTGCCTCGTAATTGTTGGAGTTCCTTGACCTAGCATTATCATTCATGGTGGTATTCTGAAAATGAGTCTGGATTAAAAATACACAACTTTATACCTTCTTTGATAGCAAAAATCCATGTGGAGTAGCTCTTGCCATAACTAAGGTGTAATCTCAGATGTAGTAGTAATAAATATTGTTCATACTACAGTTCTACAGAATAAATGGCTGATTGTAGTTTAACCAAGTGAGGTGACTGATTGGTTGACCTTTTCCACTTCTCTTTTTAACCTTTTTAATGCATTTTTATTAGGAATATTTGGTATAAGATAACAGAAAGCTATGTACAGGATTATGAGCAAAAGATAAAATAGTATCCTTGTTGGAACACCATTTACCTCAAGATACTCAACCAGCAGTACTTTTTTTTTAATGCACACTCAGTCCATATAAGATGTTACCTCTCAAGATATTGGTGAGCAATTATTTTAGCTTTACTCTGTACATGTCAGTGTTCTGGGCACAGGTTGTTGTACTACTGTCAAATTGCTCTTGCTATTTTTTTTTGGCAAGTATTTAAAAGAAAATAACCCCATCCTGGATAAAAGTGATTGTGAAATATTGTATAAATGTATGCTCTCTCTTTCCCTATTCCCACAGAAAGATGAATAAAAAATTAAGTGACTACTATATGACTTGCGAATTCTTTATTTCCCAGTTCCATTGTTCACAATAGAATGCTTATGCCATCTGCATATTCTTCTCAAATGTCTTTCAGAACTAGTTTTAAGAATGTTCAAACTATAGATCTTCAGCGCTGCAGTCTGCTACATTGACAATTTGCCTTATGTGAATTGTGAGGAGGAATCAGCCTTAAAGCACAGCTTACATTATAATAATAAAAAATAATAAAATTTTATTTCTAGACCACACCTCTCTCCCAAAAGGGGCTTGGGGCGGTGTACAGCACAAAAAACCGGCAAACATTCAATGCCTTACAAAGTAACAAACAACATCAGGAATAATACAAAATATTTATTTATTTATCACACTTTTATCCCACCCTTTTCAGCCCGAAGGTGACTTAGGGCGGCATACAGACTGGCAACAATTAGATGCCGAACACACATAAATACATCGTTTAAAACAGATTAAATCACATAATAAAATTCATATAAAAACAATTTAAAACTATTCTTTATTTAAATAATAGGTTTTTTTAATACACAATAATGGCAATAAACTTATAATGAAAGAATTAAACGTTGAGGTTGGGGGTAAACCAATTAGACAATAAACTAGGATGTGTAAACATTAAACATATCATTAAAAACAGTTAAACATGACATGGGTCAAGGAGGCATTCACCACTTTCAACCACTTTTGTCAGTCCCGTCCTGCGTCCCCCACCCCCACCCCCACAGCCGATGTTATAAGCCAGGATGGCTCCAGGGAAGGGTCAAGAGAACAAGTGGTTGGCCTTATTTCTCCAGAGATCTTGTCCACATCCTTGAGCTGAACAAGCTGAAAAGAATCCATTGAACAAGGTCAAGCGGATGCCTCAGTGATATCCATGGAGACTGCATTAACACTGTCGTCTAAGTCAGAGCAGGTCAGATGGACTTTATCTGCAAAGAACATACCACTTTTTCACAAAGAACTGCCAAATGATTAGGGGTCCCCGGCCACTTCCCTGACCACATAACACTTCTCTTAGGCGCTTCTTTGGGGGTGCAATGTTGGCAACAAATGTATAACAGGTCATCTTTTGTTTGAAGTCAGGGAAAAGTGGACATTTCCATAAAAAGGCAAGTATGTACCAAAATATAGTCTGGGGTCTTATTTGACAGATAGGAACATTTAACTCCCATGGCTATCAACAACCACTTACTGGGAAGCAGCTGATGCAGTCACAGGGGTCTTACCCTTTTGAAAGAGCAGCATTTTTTATATTTAATGTAGCCATAGTTCATGGAACTGTACTTCCATTGAGAACCTTGACAGCTCCAGCTATCCATTGAATGATTCCCAGGCTACAATTTCTGTAACAAATCTGGAGATTTAACAATTGAAGCTTTTGAAGAAATCGGTCTTGAAAATGCGTGGTTTTAAAAGCTTCTATGAACTGGCACGAGCTCTAAGATCTTCCAGGGAGGCCCTCCTCTCGGTCCCACCTCTGTCAGAAGCACGGTTGGTGGGGACAAGAGAGAGGGCCTTCTCGGTGGTGCCCCCCCCCCGCCTCTGGAACGCCCTTCCAAGGGAAATAAGACAGGCCCCATCCCTCCCCTCCTTTCGTAAGAACTTGAAAACCTGTTGGTTTCAACAAGCCTTTGAAAATGACCAGTTCTAACTCAGTCTTACACATTGTCGAATACGACTTTATTCTTCCTACCAATTACCCAGATCACTTCCTCTAATTGGTCCCGGAATGAACAGCCACAGACTCCTACCTAATATTATTGTTGCCTGCCATAGCGTTGCACTTAATTCCCGGGCACCCTAGAATTTTTGGGTTTGCACAAATCTTGGCCCTTGTAAATTTTTTAATTGCCTTGAACAGGCAGGATTACTTTTAATATATATGTGTTATGGTGACAATTTTTATGCTTATATTGTTTTGTTAATCTTATGGTTATGTTGTTTTACTTTGTATGTTTTGTGATGTTATCTGGGAACTGCTCTGAGTCCCCTCGGGGAGATAGAGCGGTATATAAAAAAAGTTTTAGTATGCTTTTCATTCCATTTGCAACGTAGCCTGACTAGTGGCCATTTTTATGATTACATTTTAAGAGTTCTGAATAATGTAGTCCTCCTTTCCAAATGTGCATCAAGAGATGCATTTATACTTCAGAATATGAAAACACTTAAACACAGGGCATAAAATGACTGTAAACAGGCATTGCAGCAAAACAGGTTGCTTTAACACTGATAGATCGGAGGTTAAAACCAGTTAATATGTCTTGATATAATAACCAGCTTCAGCTGAGAGTGGGAGGAGGAATCAGGCAAGCCCTCACAATGTTGGGGGACTGGCAAGTCCTAGCAGGAGTGCTGGAAGTTGCAGTCCAGCCACAGCCCTGGAGGTTAGAATGGTTCCTATCTTTGCTCTCAACCTGTGGGTCCCCAGTTGTTTTGGCCTTGAACTTCCAGAAATCCTAATAGCTGGTAAACTGCCTTGCATTTCTGGGAGTTGTAGGCCAAAACATCTGTGGACCCACCTTACTTAGGCTGAGAAACACTGGTGTAGAAGGACTGAACTTCTGCTCTGATATTCTTTGTTAGCTAGCCAGCTTTGAATATCTCTTTATCTGGCAATTGTGCTTCAAGATACGATTCTGTGCCCACATGACGAATGGGCAAGTTATATGAATATTGACAACAGTTCTTGTAATCCTTCATTAGTGACCATGACTGATGGGATCTGCAATCCAACATTTCCCCTTAGAATTCCCTCTACTTCTCAGAGCTTTGTTTTCAAAGGTAGTGAAGCCCATTCTGACTAAGTGAGAGGAGAAGGAAACTATGACTGACCAACTTACATTTCTTTTTGCAAACATAAAATGGTTCCATTAAATACATTGCCATGACTTTAAATATAAAACAGTAGGATGCAGTGGCTAAAAGAAGTTAATGCAATTCTAGGTTGCCTCAACAGGAGGATAGTGTCTAGAGGAAGACGAATAATAGTATGTCTCCACTTTGTTTAGAGTTCACTTGGAATACTATGTCCAGTCCTTGATAGCCAGGTTCAAGGTTACTGACAAGATGGAAGGTATCGAGACATAGCTAACCCAGCACCATAAGAAACAGTTTAGGGAGCTGGGTACAGTTCGCTTGGCAAAGAGTAGAGTGAGAGGTGACACGATAGCAGTATTTAAAGGATCTCAAGGGATGTAACGTAGAAGGTGGAGCAAGGTTATTTTCTACTGCTCCAGAGACTAGATTGCAAACCGGTTCAAATTATAAGAAAAGGTATTCCACCTTAACTTTTGAAAGAGCTTTTAATGGTAAAAGTTGTTTGGTAGTAAAATAGACTACCAGCGTGTTTTACACTCCTTGGGGGGGGGGGGGTCTGTAAGTGATTGGATGGCCATCTCTCTGAAATGCTCTAGTTGTGCATCTCTGCATGGCAGAGTTGGACTAGGTGACCTTTGTAGTCCCTTCCAGCTCTAAGATTAAGCCACAACTTCTTCGAGGAGAATGTGGTTACACCTACCAAAGTTTCCCATTACTTCCATGCTATGGTCCAGTCTGTGCCTGATGTGTAAGATCGAATCCAACACAGCTGATCTCCTTATTGCTTTCTTGAACTTCTGTGAAATGAAATAGTTTACATGGAAGAATGTGCTGAAATATGATGCTGGGGAAACCTGTACATATGGAGGGTGTTTAACTAATGTTGCACGTCTCCCAAAAGACTCGATATACAATTTGGGATTTTGCCAATTTCTTCTATGCAAGACCAGGTCAATGGTTATCAGTGTCTTTTATCTACTATAGCCCTCCCCCTATTTGGAAAAGTAATTTTCTATACTCTTTAATTAATTGGTTTAATAAAAAGTAAACTGCAATGAGCTATTTTTGACATTTCAAGCCTGTGTTTCGGTTTTTATTTTATTGTATTTTACTGTATTGTAATTTGCTGTTTGGGCTTGGCCTCATGTAAGCCGCCCTGAGTCCCCATTAGGGGAGATGGTGGCAGGGTATAAATAAATGTATTATTATTATTATTATTATTATTATTATTATTATTATTATTATTATTAAGAAGATAGCTGTCAATTACCCGTGGGAACGAGATACTCAGTATTGTTATCACACATCTATACTACTTGCACTGCTTCTGTCTTTCCAGTCTCAAGTTAAAATGCTGAAATTCCTCTCACTGGACTCAAATGTCTTGATTATTAGTCACTTGCACTTATATAGACTCCCAAGACAAGGATGTAATGCCCTGCATATAAACTCATTGGGTCAAGATAGCCAATCCTTGTGAATCACCCTACCATGAAGCTACATGTATTTCTGACAATAAATAGACCTTCAAGACTATTGGGATGATTGCATGTTCCACACTTCCCGCCACTTTAAAATATTTGTTGCTGTGTTTCATATTTTAAAAGTGCATTTTATAAATGGGGTGGGAATCATGAAGCTGCTACATTAGTGGTTTTCAACCTGTGTGGGTCCCCAGGTGTTTTGGCCTACAACTTCCAGAAATCCCAGCCAGTTTACCAGTTGTAAGGATTTCTGGGAGTTGAAGGCCAAAACATCTGGGGACCACAGGTTGAGAGCCAATGCACTAAATGTTGACTTGCAATGTCTACAATTCCTATGGTAATTGTGGTCTAATATCATCTGAGAGGCCGCAATCTCACAGTCTAAGGAAAACCCGCAGTAGCAGATATGTGAAATACCAAACAGAAATAAAGATTCTCAAAACAATGCAGGTTCCAGATTGACAATTGTAGCTGCTGTTTAGTTAAAGCACAAGACTATTGTGATGATTTAAAAAAACAAAGTCACTTTCCAACATGCACAACTACATTAAGCTGTTTTTCAATTAATTTAGATACCCAAATATTGAAGTACTCAACGGTATTGTTTAAGCAGATTTCTCTTTACAAGTTATTTTTACAATGAAGAGTTAAATTCTGCCGTTTAATGCTGCTGCACTTTGAATTACAAATGTAACCAGCCCAGAAGTGTCAAGACCCAGAAGCCTCAAGTAAAGCCAAACACAAGATAAAGAGTTCAAATACAGCTTTATTGTACAAAAATAGTCTTTTAAAGCACTTAACTTCAGTGCATAGAGTCAATGTAGCAATTTGGCATCAAAAACGCATTAATATCAGTAACAAAAATATAACCTGGATTATAATGCTGTTTAATCCAGATTAAACTCAAAGTTCAGCAATCTGCTTGAAAATTAGCACAGCACAAAAACACAGTCATAGAAGATGAAAAACGAAGTCCCAAAAACGATGAGATGTTCAAGCACAAAATTAGCAGAGTTTAAAGTTCCAGAAGTCAAAAGCGAAAGTCAAACCGGTCTGTAGTCAAGCCGTAGTAAAAGGTAAACACAGGAATGCTGGAGTCTCAGGAAAGCAGGAATGCAGGAAGCTGTAGCCCAAGGACCCAGCAACAAAGATTTATGTCCCATAAAGACACTTTGCCTTCTGCAAAGTATCATTCAAACAGAACCCACTTTTATCTTAGATCTCCTCATTAGAGGAGGATGAGCTTCCCACCCTTTCCTCATCGCTCTCAACTGCATCCACCCCCACAGCTGAGCCCGAGCGCGCATCCCTCCATCTCTGCCAGCACCTGCTAAGACTTAGATCTTGCCAAGTACTCCCCGGTTGCCAATCCCCTGTGAACCCCTCAAATTCATCACTGGAGGTGGGTTGGTTACAAATGTCCCTTATCTGTTGAACACAGGTCCAATCCAGATCCTCCTCCTCCTCTCCCATATCACTCCCAGACCCATCACTCCTTTCAAACCCCACAAAATCCTCATCCTCTGTTGGGGCAGTAAGTATTTCCCGGATGCGCTTCCTCTGAAGCTCTTCATCGGATTCCGGATCACAAGTAGCCCTCTTTACTCCCCTGCTCTCCTCCCCATCTCCCATTTCACAATCAGAGAAGCCCTCAATCATCTTGGAATCACTTGGGGCCAATATTATTTCCCTAATGCGTTTCCGCTGTTGTTCCCCCTCTGACTCTTGCACAGACCTCTTCTCCCTCCTACTGGTAGTAGGAACGTTACCATCACGCTGAACTACAACAAGAAGTTTGTATGTTTTATCTCATGTATGTCCCTATATATTGGATAACCACATACTTAGTAACTGTAATGTAAAATCTAGAAAAGTGAACACAACTGCTCAAGAAAGAAATGAAATCATGGGGTACTCCTGTCTACCAACCCAGAGTGCAATGTTCTATTACAGCAATGCTGTAACCACTGCTGCCGAATCATGAGTATTAATGGCATTATCTTTTTAGAACAGTAAGACCTCCTTACCCATGGGTTCCTTTTCCATGGTTTCACTTACGCATGGTCACTGCTCCTAGAAATGTTAGTAAACATCTCTTGGTCCACTAATTCAACTATATAGTACGCTGGGCCTGGAAGTTGACCTTCCACTTTCAAGTATCTGAAGAAATGTCCAAGCAAGCACCAAGAGGAAAGTTGGGAGCAGATCAGCAGCAGGTCATTTCCTCCCTGCCTCCAGAAACATTTATTTCCAAAGCCACTTTAACTCTGTACTGAACTCTCTATTTTGGCATCGCAGTTGACTATTTAAACTGAGTGGGTTACCTTTAAATTGTCAACTACTGTCCAAAAATATAGGGTTTGGCACTATGCATGTGAGGTCTTTGAACATATCCATGGATAAGAGACTCTTGTTGTATAGGAAATTACTCCTGCTATTATCAGTCTTCTCAAGATTACAGTCAGAAGATTCTGTAAATGGTTTTGAAGGATAACCATCAGGTGTTGGCTGAGTTTAATCGAAACTGCCACTAACTAGATAATATTCCTTTCTAGTTCCTCTATATCAGGCATGGACAAACTTCGGCCCTTCAGCTGTTTTGGACTTCAACTTTCAGAAATCCTAGCCAGCTTATCGGCTCTTAGGAATTGTTGAGAGGTGAACTGGCGGGTAAAAGTTTGCCTATTCATTATAATGGGAAAATCATATACATTTACAGAGGAACACTGGGGCTGCTATGGGTTAAACTGCTAAGCTGCAGAACTTGCTGATCAGAAGGTCAGCAGTTCCAATCCACGGGATGGTGTGGGCTTCCATTGTTAGCTCCAGTTTCTGCCAACCTAGCAACATGCAAATGTGAGTAGATCAATAGGTAACGCTTCGACGGGAAGGTAACAGCACTCCATGCAGTCATGCCGGCCACAAGACCTTGGAGGTGTCTACGGACAACAGCGGCTCTTTGGCTTAGAAATAGAAATTAGTACCACCCCCCAAAGACGGACACGACTAGACTTAATGTCAGGGGAAACCTTTACCTTTACTTATAGAGGAACACATGCATAAATGTAACTACTTTATTTAGAACAAAGAAAAAACTGACAAGTTTCATTTTCTTGTTTAGATTAAAATTATTTATTAGAGTAAAAAAGTTCTATAATGTTTTAATAGTATACAATAAACAACTAAAGAAAAATAAGCTGTAATTTCTAGGGTGGCTTTCCACGAACAATATTGAGTCCTGATCTGTCACTTTTCTGAGATCCAAATCTCCAAAATCCTCAAGCACTTTGAGAATGACATGATTCACTCTCTGGTGTGTTTTACACATTGGAGAATGACTATTCAAGGTGTGTAGCAGTTCCTCAATTTATTGAAGACGTAGCCCACTGTTTAACATCTGTTGGGCAATTTGGATAGAGCTGCAAAGCATCCATAATTTCGCTGTTGTCCAAAAGCAATTTCATTAGCAAGTATTCTCGCTGTGCACAATTAGATGTCCCTTCCACAGGTTTTATCAACTCAAGATGCTGCAAGTGTTCAAAAGCCTGAAAACAGAAGAATTGAAATAGGTTATAAATACAATGACCTACTATTCCTTAAAAATGAAGACATAGAAAATACAGTGTCGACAAACTGCATTCTACATGTATAAAAATAATTTGGCAGCAACATATAAAATTTAAATACATATCAACTTCACCCTTTATTTTAACCCATCAATGGCATTTCTACTGTTTCTACTTTAGGAAGAACAGTTGATGGTGTGGGATAATAGAAATTGAAACCAATATTATCTGCAGGTCTGCATATTCCAAATGCCTGCTTTACACCACTAATATTCTCAGATGCTGCAGTATCAGATACAAAGATCCTTTATATTCAGGAGAGAAAACTCCACAAATATCCATAATTTACACCAGAGGGCAGTACAGTACAGAGAATATTAAAATAAACCACTGAAAGATCCCTAACAACCACAAGTGTGACGTTTTAGCAAGATTTCTAGACAACGCCTTCATTTATTGTTATTACACATGATTTTAAGCTATTTATGTACCTCATGACAGTAGAACAGCAATTAAATATCCGAAGAATAAAAATAACATACAAACATACCTTCATAACAACAGGCTTCTCAAAACTGTACACAGTATGGGCCTTCCTCTGAACAAACATCTGATACTCTGCATTAACAAATACATAGTAAATTCGTTTTGCAATAAAAAAAACTACTTGTATTTATAAATTCCCAGAGTACCAACAGCATATTTTAATGAATTCAGTGTTTAGATTTTAAGTTGTAAATGAAATATTTTGCCATCTTTTAATAAAAAATAATCATGCACCAACTCACCATTATAAACCATCTGAAAATTAAAAGGTTCGCCATCATAAGTGTCGTTCAGATGTTTCATAGCTATTATGAGACAGAATTCCAGCACAGAAAGACCTGTAAGAGAAATAATATTTTTACAGTTGTGCAGATTTAATAAATTGAAATAACCATACATTTATATTCTATATTTTTATATTCTGCATTATATTTTTCTTTCTTTTAACATTTCAAAATGAAGGCTAAGGAAATCCAAAGTTCAAAAGCAAATGCAGTAAAAGAGGGATACTTAGTGGGAGAAAGCTCTACTTCCTCCAATTTACTTCCCTCTAAACCAGGCATGGGCAAACTCTGGTCCTCCTGTTAAGAATTGTGGGAGTTGAAGACCAAAACGCCTGGAGGGCCAGAGTTTGCCCATGCCTGTTCTAATCAAACTTCCCTGCATATTATGGTCAAATGCACCAGATTTATTTCACAAGAACACTAAGACACACAGCATATAAACACAACTGGACAAAAAGAGCACTGTGCTGTAATAGAGATGAACAATTTATTACACTGTAAGTCTGCTGGCAGTGAAAGTACAAAAGAGAACAGTGAAAAGATATAAGGTGCTGCAGGAAAGCAATAATCTTTGGTAGCAAAACTGTAACATACAAAAAATCACCATGATGCTCAACACCCTAGAATGCGTAAGAGCCTAAGAGGAAGCTTTTTCAAGCACAATGTATTGGAAAAATTCCTGAATTAGTGGGAAGTCACTCCCTTTTGATATCTGTAGATTCTATGAACATCAAACTTCAAGAAGATTTAAAATATGCTGTTTCTGACATTCTCACAAATGCACAACTGGTTCCTTCACAAAAGTTTTGGAAATTATCTGTGGCAGAGTAGAACACTTGAGCAAGCCTGCATAAAAATGTCTTCTGCCACAACAGAACTGTGCCATGAAAGATAATTTATTCTGTACTGACTGGGACACAAACAGGAGTTTGTCTGGTCTTCTTCTGCTACTTTCCTCTATCCATAAAGCAGAATTGATATCAACATAATGTAGATAAAGCCCTTGTACTGCAAAGCAGCGGGTCTCAGGCCTGGCTGTGTGCCTTCAGGGCCTGTGCTTTCTGGTTCACCTTTTACTTCATTGCTGACCTGGGAGTAACCCTAGATTCAAGGACTGCTCTCAGTGGCTATGATGTTTTCTGCCTGGGGAGGCTGGGGATGTGTAGTATTGCTTTGACCTACTGCCCAGCCAATCCCAGCACAATTCCCCCCACTTTTCAGTTTGTTCAGTACAAAAAAACAAAATGAAATAGATAACAGCAAAATCGCTCTTATTCCCTCCAATACTTGTGTTTGATCTCTTTATAACTGGGGTGGACAGCAATACATCCAGTGTTACATTTTTCTCTTTACGATTACCATATGCAGTGGGGGACATTTATCAAACGGAGTGTGACCATGGAGTATAACATGATTTAAAGAAATTGCATTGCATCAATTATTTCTTCTGTGCTTTTCTTTAGTGTAAAGGTAATATGTACATTTTAATTAAGATGGGAAATTATGTCTTCTTACCATGTACAATGTTTGCTTTGGAGTTCATTCTACAAAGTCTGCTTGCCTCCAGAAAGTCTGATGAAGTCATATATGGGTGAGATATGGTTATATTATTTAAAGCGAGCATCTGGGAAAAAAAAATCCCACACATATCATATTTAGCTGTTTTTATTAATGTGAACTCCGGTTATCCGTAACAGAAAATGTGCTACAATAATCAACAAAGTGCATGACTGCACGTTCCCTTTGACAACATTGTGTACTAGGTACCATTTCCAGATTTAAGAACTGAAACTACTCAAGAAAGGAATAATATTATGCTTTACAGAGTTATCTACTTAGCAATTCTAGAACTGAAACATAAATCCCAGAAGTAAAATGGGAAATAAATGCAACATTCATCAGATAAAAAAGAGCTAAAATGAATATAGTTCAGTTTGACTGACTGCATCATTTAGATGCCTGACACTAAGAATGCAGTATTTCAATAATAGCCATAGACACAACTATCTATCCTTCAAAACATGATTTATGAAGTTGAGACAATTCACTCTTCCCCTCCAAACTTTTTTTTAATACAGAGATTCTGGTTTTAAGCCAGACACAAATTGTTTTATAGTCTTGGACAAAAAAGGATGTTCACAAGAATAAGGAAGAGTGAGTCAAAAGAATGCAACACTGACACATATTCCTTATTCAGAATGTTTTTGCTCTTAGTTTAACAGCAAAACAAGGTCTAAGCAAACAACATATAAGGAAAGGCTACAAACCTATTCAGAGATACATTCAGTTACTTACGCTAGAGTAAGCCTTAGGGTCTACTCAGACTTCAAACTGAAATTATGACAATAAATGACATTAAAACGTCAATAGTCATGAATTGCAGGCATAGTTGCTATGGCTACAAAATAATGACTATGGACATTAGGGGATAATGCAATTTATTGTAAAACACATGTATGCTTACTACAGTCCAAAATGATGGAACTATTTCAGTCACAAAGAAATAACTGGAGTCAAGAGTATTTAAAGTACTGAGAGGTCCAGTATTGGGGAATATAGACTTTTATTTAAAGCAGACACACTCAAATCATTAGGGATTATGTTAGTCCTACCAAATTAACTCACTAACTATTTAAAACATCTAGATCAAACCCACAGTATAGGGGATCCATTGATCTGAAGAACCTAGTAATATATTTATTGGATGCGAAATTAGATGATTACCATAACTGTGAACACCACTGTTTGAAAGTTGCTGGCAACATCAGCATTAAACAACAGCAAAACTATTGTATGTATTCTTGTATAAAAGTCTAGAAATTGTAGCCAAAATATCAACATAAAAACCCCAAGTCGAGTACCCTTGGCTCAGTGCAATTACTGTACCTTATCACAAAAGTATCTATTCCCTTTTCTGATAGAGTAGTGAAAAGTGAGAGCTTAGTCCCGCATGGGAGAGTCTCAAGAAGCACTGATATCTTTACTGTATATCCATCATGGCACCACTTCTGGCCTTTTTGAAAGCCTAGGCAAGAAAATGCTAGTGGCGGCCAGGGGCAGTTTGTTGAAGTGGCAGTGCTAGCATTTTCCCCTCTCTGCAGAATGACTCTTGACTTATCACATCAAAATCCACAATTTTTGATCCAAAACCTGCCCTCAACTTATACGTGAGGCCATCTTATATACAAGCCTATAAGGTATTTTTTCCCTGTCAGGAGCAACTTGAGAAACTGCAAGTCACTTCTGGTGTGAGAGAATTGGCCGTTTATAAGGATGCTGCCCTTTGTGAGAGGTTTCCCTTATGTCCCTGCGTGAGGAGCTGGAGCGGACAGTGGGAGCACATCTGCACTCTCCCTGGATTCAACCCTCTGACCTGTCAGTCTTCATTCCTGTCAGCACAAGGATTTAACCCATTGAGCCATTGAGGGCTCCTTATAAGGTAGTGCTAGGGAAAGTTTATATGTTGTTTGGTGTTCAGTTCATTAATACAAAATACTTTTGGCTATAAGCTTACATGGAAAAATGTAATTTATGAACAGATTATTATGTATATTGTCAGCATCAGTTCCTATGGGAATACAGAATCTATATCAATATCTACCATATGTGAAATCATCCTATCCAAAGACATCACCATACAAAATCAGATTCATTTTCACTCTACATACCAATCTAGAATGGCAACACTGCATATATTAAATTGAACAGAAGCCAGAATTCACATTATTCCTAAAAACTACACTCCTCATTTGTTCATGCCATACTATACTTTGAAGATGAATTATAAAAAAAAGCAGTTACGATATTAATGAAGAAAATATGTTTTGTGATAACAAAACAGAACATATTTTATTCAATTTAAATCCTTTTTTTGCAATAGCTGAATTTCTTTTCTACAATCACCCACTGAGTTGTCAGCCCAACAAACTTGAGGCCACTTTGAGAACAGAGATATAGTACTTAGATAATATTACCAACAACATGGAGAGACTCCGCAGGTCTTTACTGTAATGGAATTGATTTTGCAGTACATTTTGCACACTTGGGTGTTCTAAGGCAGACTGCAAGAGATAATGGAAAAAATGTATGTTTTGTAAAATTGCCTTTATCAATATGAAAAAAAATCTTTGCATTAGGAGTTGCTACAATTACCACAATAACACACAAGATTTAGGGTGAGATCACAACTGTATATAAGAAACACAAATTCACATAATTTGGTTTTTAAAGGTATTTTAGGATATATGCAAAATTTGCATGTTGTCAGCTTAGAACACAACCTTTTAAAAATATATAAGGTTTTCTAAAATGGACATGAATGGTTTTAGAAACTGCAAATTGTAATTTACTCCAGTGCTCTTAGGATGTAAGTGGACTACAACTTCAAAATTCAAGGTCAATTCCCACCAAACCCTTCCAGTATTTTCTGTTGGTCATGGGAGTTCTGTGTGCCAAGTTTGGCCCAATTCTATCGTTGGTAGAGTTCAGAATGCTCTTTGATTGTAAGTGAACTATAAATCCCAGCAACCACAACTCCCAAATGACAAAATCAACCCACCTCCCCAACCCCACCAGTATTCAAATTTGGGCGTATTGTGCCAAATTTGGTCTAGTAAATGAAAATACATCCTGCATATCAGATATTTACTATATTATGCATAATAGTAGCAAAATTATAGTTATGAAGTAGCAACAAAAATAATTTTATGGCTGGGGGCCACCACAACATGAGAAACTGTATTAAGGGGTTGCGGCATTAGGAAGGTTTAGCAACACTGGTCTAGGGAATAGATATACTCATGTCAGCCACACCAACTGTGCTTAAACTGACTGCATCTCTAAGAAATTATATAGAAATATTTCTAGGACATTTTCTCTACAAATACAAAAATGTTAAAAAAAGTTTGTAAATGGTGTCAAGCCATGGGTTCTGTGTTAGACATCTGTTATTTAGCCATGAACTGTTCAACTAATTATAGTGAAATCATTTCTTCTCCTAATTCTTGTTACAAAATGGCCTAATGGTCTTTTTGGTATTTTCCACGCAGGTAAAGAAGTCAGAGCTTCTGTGTCCTGCATTGTGAATAGGCAACCATTTCATTTAAAACTAATCTGGTAAAGAAAAAATTAAATGTTTTTCAAAAGTTTCATTTATTAGCATACAAATTGATTATTCATGCAAATAATTCAGCACGCTCTTCTTTTAACAGTGTTTATAACACATTCACTGAACAATACAGCACTGTACAGTATTTCAAATAGGTTTTTAGCTGCAGTCACAGTCACAAGGCAAGTATGTTGGCTGTAGATATTGCATATGGTGGCTGCTGTTTTAAGAAGTGGTTGTGGAAAGGTAAAGTAGCAAAATGCCCTTAAACTATGACCCCTCCTTTCAAGGTGAAAGTAACTGTTTGATTGAGAGTTGTGTGAATAAACTATGAAGTGGATGAGCCTATGGGTGACTGGCGAACTTGACCTAGACCAGCTTGGTGTTAAGAGTGTTCCACTGATTACAATAGAGGGAGGGACAGAGGTGCAAGCATTTCACATTATGCCCCATTTAGCAGAGTCTCTTATCATGACATGTTGATGGGAGAACTGCACATGCCCACACTTGGATCCATGCCACAAAGTTAAAGTCTCCACAGCAATCTTGCTAGAACTCTAGCAGATCTTTCTTAGGATTGTAGAACCTTCTCCCCACTGGATTGAGGCACTACAGGAAGGAGTTAAGTGGAAAGACTGGGTCTCTGTTTGTGTAAATGAAGTACCCTAATAAACCAGTGGATCTCAACCTGTGGGTCCACAGATGTTTTGGCCTTCAACTCCCAGAAATCCTAACAGTTGGTAAACTGGCAAAATGCCTAGGAACCCACGGGTAGAGAACCACTGCTATAAACTCATCTGTAAGTTTAGAAATTGTAGTAAAAAATCAACCCAAAATACAACTTATTTACAGGTCAATGTGAATACTATACCTTAACTCTTATCAAAAAAGAATCATCCCTTTCTCTGAATAAGTTGACAAAAGACAAAAATTTAGTCTGTCCTGGGAAAACCTAAAAAAAACTCCAACCCCTTCTACTCTCTTCACTGAGACACAACTTCTTTGAATTCCTATGAGTGGAAATGGCAGTGGTGGCTGGGAAAGCTGGCCCGCTGAGGAGGCACTGATGCTCCCCCTCTCCACAGAATGATCCTCACTTTATCCACAGCTCATATAAAAAGCCATAATTTTTGCACCAAAACCTGCTCTCAACTTATTCATGAGGTCAATACATACATGAGAATATATGGTAATTTTCTGTTGCACACTGGATCCAGGGCAATCTGTTTCGAAATGCTCAGAAATTAATTTGAAAGTCAAAATGTGCAGTCTTGGTTGTTTCTTTCTGGGAGCATACAAAGCACTGCTACCCTGTAGTTTATTTGAAGATTGTCAGAAAAAATACATCAACAGAGAAATCTCGGCCCACCGAATTACTTTTTAAATTCTGCTTTTATTTCAATTACCTCTATATTCTTGTTCCATTTTTGAGAAAATTGCTTTTCTGGAAACTCTGGAGGAAGGGATAGCTGTTCTTTACAAATGTTCAGATATTTTTTGAAATCAAAAGAATTCACTAAGTGTATTTGCCGGTGGGAAAATCTTGACTTTACTCTCTTCTCCAAGAGTTCTAGAATATCCTAGTTAAAAAAAAATCAGAAATACCATTTTCAGTTTTATCATCTAATGTAAGTACATAAAACAATTTCAAATAAAGTATTTTAAAATATGCACCCAAGCTTGTGTTCTGTAAAATTGTAAAATGTCCATATCTAGATCTAAAATCAAAGTACATGGTTAATAACAATCCACTAGTCAAGCCAACCAAGATTTAAAATACCTTTGAATGCTCTTGTACACTTGTACGTGCACAGTTAAAATGTTGATGACTATCAAACCTCTTGGTTAGTTTTCAGTTTATCACCGGGGGGGGGGGGGGGAATTACTTAATTACAGTATTTTTATGTCTGTGTCTAGAAACCGTATTGTCCAGTCAAGAAATAAAACAATATAAAACTATTCAACCAAATAAAACACAAATCCACAACCCAGTGTCTGATTTTAACTTGGCAACAAAAACTGGGACAAACTGGCCACAAATTAGAACAGAGCACACCCAATAACAAATATAAAATCCATTACTCTATAAATCGAACTGAACTTTTTCCTTAAAGCTTTTCAGACCTCCTTCTTCCAAGAAGAAAAGAATTAAGTTTGCACAATTTCCAGTAATTTTAATTGTGGAAAGGCACAAATGGAACTGCTCTAGGATATGGCTAAAGTGACATGCTTCAACTACCTAATCCCCACACAAGCAATTCTATTTCCCCTTAATAAAGGGCTGGCTTTAGCACAGCAGGTTAAATACCAGCTGTAGTCAATCTTGTAAGTAAAAAGGTTGCCAGTTTGAAGCCGGATCAGGATGGTCTCCTGGCCTTAACCCAGCTTCTGCCCACCTCATGGTTTGAAAGCAAAAATGTGATTAGATAAATAGGTACTGTAAAAAAAAAAAAAGCAGGGGAGGTTTTCTGAGGCACCCAGAAGTAATGCCAGTGATTCAATCCAAAAGAGGAAGTTACAAACTAGCTCTTCGGCAGGGAGATGGAGCAACAGCCCTCGCCCCCCCCCCCCAATGGCTGGAATTGAGCACATCTTCCAAGATGCCAGAAAGATGGGGAAAGCCAATCTTTATTTATTTATTTAGCCTATTTATATACCGCCTTTCTCAGCCTGAAGGCAATTCAGGGCGGTTTACATTCGGCACAATTGGATGCCCCCAACAACATAAAAACACATAAAAACATTAGCATATAAAATATAAATTCATATAAAGTCAATAAATGCAATAAAACATATATCTCTTATCTATGCACAATTGTCCAGTTGTGCACTGTTTGCCGCATATGTATGCTCTGTGATCTGCCCTGAGTCCCTTTGGGGTGAGAATATAAATAATGTAAACAAATAAAAATAAATAAAATAACAAAGGTCTCTGTTCAATATGTGAAATAACATTTTCATGGTAACATGTGTTAGCAAACATATAACTTACCAATCTACAAGTAAGACCAATGACAGCTATAGGAGTTTGTGCTGACTGCGATACATCGAAAAGGTTATAGAGCAAAGTTTGGTTCCTATGATGAACGAACAGGTCAAATTCATCTAAGACAAACAGAACTGGACAACTGTGGGCACGGTCACCTAGAACACAGATCAAACTGACAAATATTATAACTGTGAGTAGTTTAGATACTTCTATCTGCATTTGAACTTCTAACATTAACAAGTTATCAAACACACACACACACACATATAAATGCAAAACTTATATTTTAACAAAAGTTACCTATCACTGACAACAGAGAAAGCTATCAAGCATCTCCATTTTTCTCTTATTACCGCAACTTACCCAGAAACACTGCTATAGCTTTCTACATAACTCTACCCTTCAGTCTCAATCTGTTCCAATTAGATTTTACATTTAATCAGCTAAGCAAACCTATAGAGGACTTTAGAGGTGGCAGGAAGACACATCCAGTCCCACATAAATTTCTCTTATTACCGCAACTTACCCAGAAACACTGCTATAGCTTTCTACATAACTCTACCCTTCAGTCTCAATCTGTTACAATTAGATTTTACATTTAATCAGCTAAGCAAACCTAACTGACATTCGAAACACAGCTTTATGATTTCTACCCCGTAAAGACCTAATATATGAAACCACTGCCAAATTAACATACTTGTAATTATTATGATTAAGAATATCAGGTGAATATCATGATATCAAGACACAAGCCTATAGAGGACTTTAGAGATGGCAGGAAGACACATCCAGTCCCACATAAATTTATCTTCCCTACTTTTAAACGAATCCAGCGTGGTTTACCTATAACTCTGGAAAACTGGGTTCGAATCCCTATTCTGCCATGGAAGCCCAGTGGGTTACACTAGATAAGTCACACTCTCTGCCTCCCCAGAAGGCAGGGGCAAATCCTGCCAAACAAATCTTACCAAGAATCCCAGTGATAGGGTCACTTTGGGGTTGCCATAAAACAGGAATAGTTTGAAGGCACACAAAAAAAACAACCACCACCACTCCTAAAGTAATAATCTCTGTCTATTAAAGATGCGGAAGACACATTTATACAATCAGCATTAGGTTCCTAATATTTTGCAGCACAGCACCTACTATAGTTTTTGTACAGTTCAGTTGTGTGTTTTGCACTCTTATAAGCTGCCTTACGAGCAAGTCTCAATAGATCCAGTTTCTACAATATGACTCAAAGAAATCCCCAAACTCCACAATTTACTTCATGCAAAGGATTCTTCCCCAAGCTTTGCCCTTTAAACTCTAATTTAATGTTTCTTCTCCCCAATAAGCTGTGATATCTCTAATGATGGAGTCAGTAAAACACTATGTCTTATTTTCCCCCAAGCAACAATGTTTACCTCTTTTTAATGCTTCTAGAAGAAATGTGAGATTTTCTGCAAAACTACCCTAAAAAGAACAAAAGGTGCATGATTATAGATTGAATCAAACAAAGGGTTTTATGAATGTTTGAACACCAAATGCATTTTTCTTATAACTACTGTAGATCCATCTGCAATGTGTAATTAAAACTACCAAAGGATGTGTGTGTGAATGAAAGAATGAATGAATGATGTGGAAAACACAAGTCTATCTCCATTCAAAGAATTATGCCAGATCTAGACATTACAACAGAGAAAGATGTCATTTCTGCCCCTCACTCACTATTCATTTTCATTTCTTTTGCAATAACTAAATGAAGATACCAACGACAAGCATTCAGTGTTAAAGTTCACTAGCTATGGTGAACATCCAGATACTCCTACTTCACATATTGTTCCAAATTAAAGCCAAAAACAGGAAAAGGGTTATGCACCTTCCAGATAAAATTCTCAGCAGAGTCAGCCAACAACAGAAATTGTGAGGAACATGTTAAGCAACACTGAGAATGTAGTTTAATTCCAATCCCAGCCTAAAATAATTTGGAGGTCCACTGAATAACTGAACTTGTTAATTCAACATTTATGCTCAGTTTCACTGATTTAATGCAGCAGTGTGGAGCTGACTTTGGTGAAAATGCAAAACCCTAGGAGAGAAAAAATTAACGTATTGGGAAAAACTCAGTTTTGATTCAACCTTTTCAATGGGAAAATATCAGAAACAATTGGATTATGAAACATTTTCTGTGGGACTGATGGAAAAATTGTTGAAGATAAGGCGTTGACATATTTAATTTTTTTATATATCACAACGTAACAGGAAGTTGTTCTTGTAAGACAATGTACACCATCTGACCATTGCGATTCCTGATCTTACCAGACAACAAAGAGCAGGTGAAGACATAACTATTTTGCTGTTTTACTGGTGGATACTTTTGTTTCTCTTCTTGTTTGCCTCCATATAATAAATAAACAAAGCCAATATATGAAAATCTGTTCAGAATTTTGTACCTGGCAGAGAATGGGAATGGACCAATGGAAGAATCCAAGGCACATCTTTCAAAAAAAAAATAAATAAAGATAAAATTCTAAAGAAGGAAATTCAACCAGAATTAGAATTTTATGAATACATGTTTTTAATATACCAAAGATAATATATAATAGATTTTTTTTTGTTCCCAAAGTCAACAAATGACCTGACAGAAAATTCTTGTTGCAGATGTGTGCCTTCGATTCTTTCCTATTTATGGAGATCCAATCATTTTTTTTCCTTTGTTCAGAGTGGGGTTGCCTTTGCTCTTCTCTGAGAATGATTGTGTGTGAATTACCTAAGTTCATCCACTGGGTTTCCATGTTTGAGAGGGGATTTGAACCTGTTCTTCAGGGTTGTAATCCAATACTCAAACCATGACACCACACTGACTCTCTAAAAGTGCTGATGTTAACTTTTAAAAATTTTAATTAAAATTTCAATATTCTTCTTGCAAAGATAAAAATTGAAAAAAAAATTGCATTCCCATGGCTTCAACATTTATGGAAATTTTCCTTCTTTAGGGGTTACAGGATCTTGAAGGGTTGCCACTGAGTATAGGTTAAAAAAATCCTTTTGGTCCCATATTACTTGCAGAACACATTCTCTTGAAAAACAGTGTGAAAACTCTTGCAAAAAGAGTGTCATTGGAGAATAAACCAGCCCAAGGACCTTGAGAATAAGGAGAATTGTCTCCACTCCTTGGTGGTTGTTGAGGAATATGCTGGAAGTACATTTTTTTTAAAAAGAGGGAGAGTTGGGTTTTCCACCTTGCTGCTCCGTGGATTTTACCTAGTGCAATCGAACAATTGACTTTCGGCAAGAGAAAACAACTATGAGTCATAGCTTTTCAAGCTTCCACATAATACATGAGAGCATTATCTTTCGCTAGATGACAAACATAGTCACATTTAGAGAACATTATGATCCTGCAGCCATAAAGTCTTTATTTTGGCCTTATCAGCTTTCTAGAATCCTGACAGACTTAATTTTCAGTTTAAGCCTTTATAATATATGGCACTCAAGTTTTATATTACTGTATGATTAAACAACCAGATTTCCTTTAATTAAGATACAGTTGGAGGTACTCGAAGTTTATTTAAATGGCATCAAAGCTGTTTTGCATTTCCCACAAATACTGGACATATCCTATTTGTTCTCAGTGGTCATATCTGATAAAAAGAATCTTAGCTAGTTTAGACATGATATTGTCTTGATTTGTTAATACAGTCTTCTCCCCACATTTGCAGGTTTAACTTTAGTGAATTTGATTTATCATGAATTTGATTAAAATGATATATCTGTAGGAACTTCCCCACAGGTCATGCTGGAGAACCTAGAGATTCCTAGGGAGAATAGCACTTTTGGAATCTCAGTGTGATTTAATGGTCATCTTTCACTGGAAGTTGATCAGAGTTATGCAGGAGGACCTAGAAATTCCTAGAGAAGTATTTGCTCAGGTAAAAAAACCCCCATTTTTCCAGGTTTTCAGTTTCACAGGGGTCCTGTGCTCCTGACTACAGTAAGTGTGGGGAGCCAACTGCATATTTAGCTACCTTTTAAGAGAGAAAATGTATAAAAATGTGTACATTTTATAAATTCATCAAACTAATTTAAGGTTGAACCATAAGGGTATATAGTTACAACTGTATAACTTATATTGATTTCAGAGATCTGCCAAAACATGAGCCAATATACCATTATGCATGAGTTTGTTTTTATTTACTTACAAACACTTTATCTCCAACCACATTTTCCAGATTCAGCTGTCTTGTAATCTCCTTAAGAGCAATTTTATCATTGGTCTGTAACAAACCTACAAGATAACAGCAAGTACATTATAATATTCTAAGATGTGCTTATCTGTTTCTTGTTCCCCTTCTGTTTACAATATGGTTAGAGAACTAGCAATTAGAGAAGTAAATATAGCAATTACATTTGCAGTTCAAAACAATGGTTTGTACAACTTCTCTGAATAAGAACAGTGAACCATGGTTTGCAGTTCTCAAAGGGTAAGTCCAAAGCTCAGCTTGTACATTCAAAGCACCAAAAGGGGTCAGTTTGTGCTAAACTTCACTGAATGATATTTTACACTAATGTTTAGATAACAGGAATTTTCTCTGTGAAACAACTAATGGAGAAAACTAGAGTAATATCTTTATAAAGCTGCCTTATTTTAAGGTGTCAATATAAAAGTTTTGTGTATAATTCAATTCCTGCCACCAAAGGATATTATGGGATCTGATTATGTGACACACATTTAAATGGCTAATAGACCCATTTATGACAAAAATGACTTACTGCTTACCATTTAAATGAACATACAAAGTGTTGTCCTTGACTTGTTTAATTTCCATGAGTTTGTTTAAGACATGGCATGTTAACTGTAAAGAGGAATGCAATTCAGTGGTTATAGTAAAGCACAGTTAAGTAATAAATCTTACACCATACCTATCACTTAAGTTGAGGATTTAAAATTAAAATAAGTCTTTTATTGCTGCTTAGTAATCAACGTTATTATTCTTCACATGAGAATAATATTATTATTCATTCTGTTCAGATTAGAATTAATCACAGTTTGTCCTTATGCTTTAAAGAGCGCCTTCCAACCTCAAAAGGGACTGTAATCTAATGGAGGTTCCTAAAGGAAAAAAGGAAGAGTGCAATCTTGCCTTTCCCACACCTATTTTCTAGGGACTGGCAGTGGGAACAGGGAACTGGCAAAAGGTCACCTCTTACTGTCACAAAAGCAGTATTCTGCAAATGAAATTCAAGTCTTGACTCTCCTCTCACTGTAGCGCCATGTCATCTGCTATGCAAGATCTGGTAAGAAACAGAAGCAGGAACCTGCAAAACCTTTCCTGTTGTTGCAAAAATACTTTTGCGTGTATTCATGGTGGGGTTGAGGGGGATTGATTTTGTCATTTGGGAGTTGTAGTTGCTGGAATTTATAGTTCACCTACAATCAAAGAGTATTCTGAACTTCACCAACAATGGAATTGAACCAAACTTGGCACACAGAACTCCCATGACCAACAGAAAATACTGGAAGAGTTTGGTGGGCATTGACTTTCAATTTTGGACTTGTAGCTCACCTACATCCAGAGAGCTCTGTGGACTTGAACAATGGTGGATATGGACCACATTTGGCATGAATACTCAATATGCCCAAATGTGAACACTGGTGGAGTTTTTGGAAAATAGACCTTGATATTTGGGAGTTGTAGTTGCTGGGATTTATAGTTCACCCACAATCCAAGAACATTCTGAACTCCACCAACGATAGAATTGGGCCAAACTTCCGAAACAGAACCCCATGACCAAGTTGAGAAACACCGGTCTATACTGAACTATCAGAAAACAAAGGTGTAACTATCTCAGCCATCCATGCGGATGATTTTGGAATATTCTGGATTTCAGAAGTCTGAATAAGGGGTGCTCAACCTGTACCATCACGGAGCCATCACCTCTAACTACATTGCGGAAAGGCTAATGAAAGTTGGCGTATACTGTATTTTTATTACTTTTAACCATGGAATGTTAGGCACCCTTAACAGAGGGGGAAAATTAACCAAAACACATAAAAGCAAGTTTTTCGAAACTTAATCTACTTATAATAGACTATTCACTAACCATACCTGATTTAAAAACTACGGGAACAATGAGATAGAAGTATTGCTTGATTATTTGCTTTATGTAGAAAACATATAAACATGTTCTCTATTCCAAAGTTCCTCCAAAATGAAAATATAGAGTAAAACACATAATAAAATATTTGGCAGTGTTTGAAAACAAAAATTTATCTCGAAAGTGAACTGTCTGAATTTCAATACATTAAAAAAAATCTTAACAGAATGACAAGGATTCACATAAGGTTCAACATGTAACATCGCTACGAAATGAAAATTAATACCAGAGTTTTTCCTGAGCCTCGGGGTCCAATGATGAGTACAGAGTTGCTTTCACCCTGAATAGCTGTTCGTTTTAACAACTCAAGTAATTGCCTGTGGGGAAAATGAATATAACTAAGCTTCAGAGAGGGTTGTATCTGGAAAAATCCCATATTTAACAGCAACTCAGAAAAAAAGGAAAAAAACTGTAAAAAGTGCTAAAAATAACTCCCATATATACTCATGTATAAGACAACCTCGTGTAAAAGTCAAGGGCAGGTTTGGGGCCAAGATTATGGATTTTTATATGACCCATTAATAAGTCGAGAGTTTATTCAGAAGCAAAGGGAAAGAGCCAGCACCACTTCAGAAAGCCAGCCACCTGTGACCCTCACTATTTTTTTACGCAGGTATTCAAAACAGCCTGAAGCAGTGCCACAGCAGAGATGAGAGTAGGTTGGTGGTTCTTTTAGGTTCTCCCAGGTGGACTAAGCTCTTGCCTTTTGACACCATACAGCTAAGGAAATGGTTCCTTTTTTGATAAGAGTCAAGAGATACTGACCTGAGGATAATAAGTCAACCCAGTTTCTGTGATTGATTTTTAAATTAAAATTTCTAGATGTATACATGAAAATACAGGGTAGATCTCAGCAAGGAAAGTACTATACTGCAAATATATAAGAGGAGTTTTTAGAAACTACTATTACATCAGAGGAATTTTGCATAATGTTCTCATATACTGCAAGAATCAGTAGTTATTCTAAATTTGGATATCAAAGATTTAAGGGACTTTACCTGATAACATACAACTATAAGGAAATCGCTGTGAAAGGAAACATGACATTTTGCCTACCATATCATGAACCTCAGATAACAAATCTCTTGGTGAAAAAAACTCCTTTTTTACAGTGTTTTTATGACTACCCTGTCCTCATCAGTTGCTCCTTGCGAGCCTTGTGCTTGATATGTGTACTCTGGAGCACATTTTTATGGGCACTGTGGTCCAAAAGGAGATGAAACTGACAAAAACCATCTATTTTTTCCATCCAAAAGAATCCCTAGTTCAGACAGTTCTATTCCATACAAATCAAAACCAATTGAGGGAAGAGGTCTCAAACACAGAGGTTAAATGCAAGGGAGCAGTAGGGGGCGGGGGACTCTTAATAATATAACTAAAATGTTTATTGCTTACTTGTACTGAGGCTCAATTCCAAACAACTTTTCATTTGGACTTGGATGACAAAACCTTTCACGCAGTATTTTTTGTACCTGCAAAAAAATTCAGTCATTCAAAAATAATATAGTCAGCTCTCAATTACTCTGGAAAATTTCTCCTAGTTTACGAAGGCTAATGAGGCAGAAATTACACAAATATGCTAGGACATTGTGCAAGAGCTATTTTTCAGAAAGAAATATGAAATTTTAGATGAGTACTTTTGTACAGGAGCTGGAGCCAGTCTGTTTGAAGGACTGTCTACATCTGAATTTGAACTCATTATCTGAGATTCTTTGACATGTAGTTTCTAAAAATAATTATACAGTAAAATTCAATTTTTATACCACAGTAAAATTGTGTTACATTAGCTTAAGTTTGTCTTTAATTGCTTTCAATTGCTGCATTTCAATACTAGTATCAAGTCAATACAGAGTTTATGGTATGTTATATCATGAAGTATAGCAGTGATGGCAAACCTTTTAGAAATGGAGTGCCCAAACCAGGGCGGGGAGCGGCTCGCATGCCAGGAGAGTGTGTGCTGTGTGCCCCTTATGGCACGCATGCCATAGGTTCGCCACCACTGGGGTAGAGTATTAGGCCTATTTGTAATAGTAACTCTCACGCAACTAGAAACTACATTAATCTGGACTCTATCAATCCCCATGCATGCCAGTTAACCGAATCTACCGTACACTCTTAAATTAGCTCTCTTTTTTGCACACACTTACCATTACAACTCAAAAGAGACTGCTTTTTGAGTATCTAAAATATCATCCAATAAGATAACTGTTGGCTTTGGCATAGATTACTTTCAAATACAGTGTGAGCCCTGTAACTTGGAATGCATATCTATAGCTTTACTTATCCAATTCCGGGGGAAATGGTTTCTCTCAGAACTTACTATTTCCACTAGGTGTCTACAGTATACTTCCCCAGAGGTTGCCAGAGAATCCACTAATTCCTGGAGTGGACACCTCTCTAGGAATCTTGTTTTCTTCCACTGCAGCTCTATAATAAGTTGTTACCAGAACTATGATAATGTAATGGTGTCTGGTTGTATCTACCATTTCAGGTAACCACATTCTGGCTGGTAATGTATCTCCCACAGATACATGCGTTTTACTGAATGGTTAAGTACTGGATCACCACTTAATTTATGTGGCAGCTATCTATGTTGTCCTTAGTTCTTTATTTGAAAGACAGTATTAAAATATAATACATAAATAATACTATATAAGACCAATAATGTAAAAATATGTTAAAACTCTAGTGTTTGTTTGCCGGGGAACAGATCTACAGTAACTGCAGAAACCATGGCAATTCTGAAACAGCAAACAGTTGAAATTAGACTTGCATACATGACACTTTATTAAAGATCGTCTTCCAAACCTAGGTTGTGTCATGTTTTATCAATGAGTGTTTTGCCAATATCCTATCACAGAACATAATGAGATTTGTAAGCAAATATGGGTTCAGAGGTTGCTCAAACTCAGATGTCACAAAAGAATAGTTAAAAATTGTTAGCTTGTGGCTGACTGATTCTGCTACAAAGAAGAGGGGGGGAAAACCATTCTATGGAATGCCCAAAAAGAGCTCTGTGGCTTGTCTTTCCTCTTATTACTCTTGAATATCACATTTCTCCCAAAATGGGAACAATGGTGGCTTCCAGTGTAGAACTTATAGTTAAACTAGTACATTGTACAAACATTTAAAAAATAGTCAGCGGAAAATCACAGAAAACAATTAAAATAGTTTAAATATTTATAATACATTAAAGTACAGCACTCAATTGAAAGAGCCTCTGTCACATCCTATTTAGAGACTAAAGGGCTGTTTAAATAAAAAGCTCTTTGCTTGCTGGCAAAAAGAGATCAAAGCAGAAGAATAGAACATAAACCTGTCTTGGCACAGTGATACATTTATGAAAAACGGTGTGGGATGCTCAGTAGTCCAGCTACAGGTATGAAGTAAGAAAACCAAGTTAATTCCATTACCACAAAAAGGGCTGTGAAAAAAGACTGGATTATCAGTCATAAAATCTGAGGTTTTGCTGAATACAGTCAGCCCACAGTTTCTATGGATTCTGCATCCACAAAACAACCATCCATGGTTAAAAATATTTTTTTAATCCAAGACAAACCTTAATTATGTCATTTTAATTAAAGGACACCACTTTACTATGCCATTGTATATAGTGCACCCACAGATTTTATAATCCACAGAGGGTCCTGGAACCAAATTCCAGTGGATACAAATCAAAATGAGCAGTACTAGTTTTGAAAAACTTATGAAATAATAATAATAATAATAATAATAATAATCTTTATTTATACCCCGCCACCATCTCCCCGAAGGGGATTCGAGGTGGCTAACATGAGGCCAAGCCCAAAGATACAATGCAGCAAAATAAAATACAAAATGCAGACAACAAAAATATCATCAGAATAAAATACATACAGTAGCAAAATAAAATAAATAAAACAAATTGGCATAATATAAAATTGAACACAAGGGCAGGCCAAATGGACGAGGTAAAATGATAAAACCTTGGATGAGGTAGGAATAGAAAAAGTGTAATTGAGAGGAACCCAAAAAGGATGAACACTGGGGTTAGGCTTTCAATTTGGGACAGGGGGGAAGTGCATCACAAGGGCAACACTATAGATGGAACAAACAGAAATGGGATAAGTGGTCACTCTAAAGGTGCATCTTAAGAGACAAGTTTTCAATTTTTTCTTGAAGGCTACTAAGGTGGGGGCTTGCCTAATCTCACCAGATAGTGAGTTCCAAAGTGGGGGGGGGGCACAGCAGAGAAGGCTTTCTCCCTCGTTCCCACAAGTCTTGCCTGTGATAGGGGCAAAAACACATGTCCATGCATGTAAGAATGAGATGCAGATAGGTGTGAGCAGATAATTAGACCTAAATTTCATTTTACTAATGGGATTAACAAAACAGATAACCTATTAATCAACAATTGATTCAAACAGCTATTCCTATCACTGGATTTATGCCACATATCGAACTACTGCTGGACTTATATGCCCCAAAGAATCCCTATTGATCAAAGCCTGCATCTGCAAAGTAGGTCAAAACAAGACACTAAATTATTATCTCCTCATGTTCAATAAATGAAAGAGAAATATCACTAACCTTTGAAATACATTCGCCATTTGTGAAGCTATCCTCCTTCAATTTTCGTTTACTCATTTTAATTCCTACTGTACAAAAGGAAATATATATATATATTACAGCAAGAACTCCTCAAGCAGTCAAGATTGAAACTAACCCCCACTTTCTTTCTTCTTGTTCTATGCAGAGATGCAAAATAAGACTTTACGTTTGAAAGGTATATCCTGTGCTCATTCTAACACATGGCTGACTTCAAATTATTGCTCCATGCCACCACCCACAAAGACAGTTCTCAATGAGATGTTGTAAGCTTCTCAAAAATAATGTCACCTGCATATAATTTATAGCATGCCATAATCGATCCAATCTTTGTAACGATCCAATCTTTTCAGTACTTATGTAGGGAACCTTGCTTATATGTCAAAATCCAATAAGCACTTCTAGTATTAAGTTTTATTTGACACAAGCTTTCCTGGATTCCAGTCAATTTGTCAGATGCTTCAATGGCTTCAGCTGAAAAATATTTATATATACAAATACAATAGAGTTGACCTAAGACAGAGGTGTCAAACTTGTGGCCCTCCAGGTGTTTGGCCTCCATCTCCCAGAAGCCCTAGTCAGCATGGTCAGGAATTCTGGGAGTTGAAGTTCAAAACACCTGGAGGGCCACCACTGGCCTAAGGTATATGTGAGAAAAAATGAGTAGGCAAAAGATGTACTGACTTTACAAACACTTATGCAATTTCTTGGATTTCAAGATGTAACAAACCTTTCTGGTGTCTTTGCTGCAACGTAGTCACAAACCATGCCAAAGCAACTGGACACATATGATGAAAACAACAACAAATAAATCAAACACAGCTTCAAACACTCAACCATAAGTTAATGCCAGTTCCAGATCCTGCATATGTCCACAAGTTCTACTTCTTGGCTCTCTACATACAGGTTGAGTATCCGTTATCCATAAGTCCAAAAAATTCCAAAATCCAACATTGTCTAAATGGGTGGGCTAAGATACTGACAGCTTTGCTTTCTTCTGATGGTTCAGTGTCATGCTCAAAATAAAATAAAAATGTGTATCTTAAGTTTATGTGCATAAGACGTGAATGAAATATAAATGATTTTTGTGTTTATACTTAGGTAACATTCCCATGAAGTACGTAAGTATTCAAAAATTGGTGTGTGTGTGTACAAAATCACAAACACTTCTGGTTCCAAGCATTTTGGAAAAGAGATACAAGTTGAGTGTCCCTTATCCAGAATCTTTAAATACTCAAAAAGATGAAATTGTGCACTTAAATCCCCCTGAGAACCTCAGTGTGCGGGTCAGATTGTATGGGAAAAGGAGATCCTTTAGGCAACCTGGAACCAAACCATGTAGGGCTTTAAAGGTCAAACAAACACCAACACCTTGTATTTTCCCCAGAAACTAATTGGCAACCAGTTGAGTTACTTTAGGATAGATGTGATACGCTCACTCCTAAATGTTCCCATAAGCAATTTGTAGCACCAATCAGGTATAAAACTAAGTTTCCCAAAATTTGAGGTCTGCAATAATGGCTGATCTAGACCCCCTTATCTGAAGCATAGTAAGTCAGCATGTGCACAACATTTAAGAAAATGCCATTTTGGGGGGTCTAATAATATTGAAATTAAATTTATAAGAATGGCTAGTAAATTTAAATCTTGCCGTTTTTTCTGCTGATTCCGATGGAATTAATTTTAAGATTGTGGATGCAAAATCCACTCAAACAAGTTGTGTATCAAAATGTGTCATGACAAATTTTGATCAATATTCAAACTGCAACAATTTTCATGCAAACGAAGATATGGACTCGAAATTTTGACCAAGCATTACGATTGTGCTGGACATAATACTGTCAAATTTGAAACTACCCAGCCTGTGCTGGACGGGGTCGCACTCCCCTTGAAGGCGCAGGTTCGCAGCTTGGGTGTGACCCTGGACTCATCGTTGAGCCTGGATCCCCAGGTTTCAGCGGTGACCAGGGGAGCATTTGCACAGCTCAGGCTCGTGCGCCAGCTGCGCCCGTATCTCGGGAAGTCTGACTTGGCCACGGTGGTACACGCTCTTGTCACATCCCGCCTGGATTACTGCAACGCTCTCTACGTGGGGCTGCCCTTGAAGACGGCCCGGAAGCTTCAGCTGGTTCAGCGTGCGGCAGCCATGTTACTAACTGGAGCGGGTGGCAGGGAGCATACAACGCCCTTGCTGTCCCAACTCCACTGGCTGCCGATCTGCTACCGGACCCAATTCAAGGTGCTGGTTTTGGCCTTTAAAGCCCTAAACGGTTCCGGCCCAAAATACCTTGCTGACCGCATCTTGGCCTACGAGCCCACGAGGACCTTGAGATCGTCTGGGGAGGCCCTTCTCTCGATCCCGCCTGCATCACAGGCACGGCTGGCGGGGACGAGAGAGAGGGCCTTCTCGGTGGTGGCCCCCCGGCTGTGGAACACTCTCCCGGCACACATTAGACAGGCGCCCTCCCTCATGTCCTTTCGAAAAAGCCTTAAGACCTGGCTGTTCGAGAGGGCATTTAATTAAGTGCTAGCAATGTCATTACGGTAATGAGAATTGGAATGGTATAAGGACGAGGAGACTGGCCTACGATTCTACTAAGAGACGAAGCGGATTTTTATGTAGTTTGTATTGTTGTATTGTGTGTATTGTGGATATTGGCTTTTGTAACTGTCTTTTTACGTGTACTGTACACCGCCATGAGTCGCCCGTAAGGGCTGAGAATGGCGGTTAATAAGTGCATCTAATAAATAAATAATAAATCTATAACCACTCTGCAGGATCTCTTCTAATTTGGAACTTTCAGCACAAATGGTAAAATCTACCAAAGTTCAAAACCAATTATTTAAAAAGATTCTACTTGAATATGCTTGTAAATAGTATTATCTGAAAGAGAAATTTCTGCTCTATAAGACTGATACATTTTGTTTTGCAATGCGACCATTAAGTATCAATTTACTCAGGTCAACGTATGTTATGTATCACAATGAAACCAGCATCTCCATTGCCATAGGGCCACAATAACTAGCATAGTAGTTCTTAACCTGTGGGCCGTGGACCACCAGTGAGCCGTGAGGATGAAAATCTGACATGTGAGCCTCCTCCTTCTTTATTTTATTTCTGCTCATTTCACGCTGCCTGCCACTCCTTCCATATAGCTGACCATGGCATATGTTCCGTATCAGACACTAGAGCTGAAGTGGTCTATCCAATGCAATTTTCTGAATCAGCAGTCCAAACCAAATCTAAAATTGACCAAAACTAATTTGTAACCCTTTTGGTAGTAATGCTGGAGAGTGGTCCCTGGTCAAGTAGTCCCTGGTCAAAAAACCCACAAAACTTGGAACCACTGAATTAGGACCATTATTTATTTACCGTATTTATACACCACCTTTCTCAACCCAAAGGCAACTCAAGGCAGTTTACAGTCGGCACAATTCGATGTCCCCAACAATATAAAATACAATTAAAAACATTAGCATATAAAATATAAAAACTGTATAAATAAATAAAAACATAAAACCTCAGCGTCTCCTAACAAAAATCACTTTCCAGTCGCATTGTCCAGTTGTTCTGAAGCTCTATCTTTGCCGTTAACACAGCATTTGAAAATGCTTGCTCGAAAAGCCAGGTTGCATGAGGGTGCATAAAGCATAAAATCAGCAACTATTGCAGTTAGAGATCTCACATTTTGGGAAACTTAGTTGAACACCTGACTGGTGGTACAGTTAAAATTTGCACAAAAATGTGGAGAATGTGATGGTAGGAACTTTTTAAAATGTTGGACTACTTGGCATGGAATGACCCTGCTGTATTTTGAACCAGCTGGAGTTTCCAAACTTGGTACAAAGTAGCCCAATGTAAAGCGCATTGCAGAAGTCCAACCTTGAGGTGACCAGTGCCTGCACTACTATCTTCAGGTCTTCCAAATCTAGGAAGGGACACTAGATTTGTATGCAAATATTGCAAAATCCCAAATGCTTCTGGCTCCAAGAAGTTTGGAAATGGGATAAAGGCTGAGCATCCCTTATGCAGAACTCCAGTCAATGTATGAGGATCAAGGATGCTCAACCTGCACTTTATCCCTTCTCCACCGGGCGGAAGGCAACCCTGGATAACTGGGTTCCCTTTCCCCAACAAACGGAGTCCCCTCAGGAAGCCCAGGAGTCCTTCTTCTTCCAGGAAGGCACATCTAGAGGACGCAGTTCAATGAACGCACACAAAGGTTTTTTTCTGTCCTGTCAGGAGCGACTTGAGAAACTGGGCCAGAGTGTCTCCTGTGCTGTTCTAATAATATAATATATTGTATAAACATATAATATTTATAATATTACAATGTAATGCAATATTATAATAACATGATATTATAATAATATATTTATATTACATGTAATATTACTAATAATATTACGATATAGTGGTGCAATATAGCAATGTGTAATGCTGATATTGTACTATGCTAATAATATAATATATTGTATGTAATATATAACTTGTAAGCCGCTGAGTCCCCTTCGGGGTGAGAAGGGCAGCAGATAAATGTCGTAAATAAATAAATAAACAAACTGCAAATCGCTTCTGGTATGAGAGAACTGGCCGTCTGCAAGGACGTTGCCTAGGGGACGCCCGGATGTTTTATCATCCTTGTGGGAGGCTTCTCTCATGTCCCCGCATGAGGAGCTGGAGCTGACAGAGGGAGCTCATCCGCGCTCTCCTCGTATTCAAACCTGCGGCCTGTGGGTCTTCAGTCCTGCCGGCACAAGGGTTGAACCCACTGCGCCACCGGGGGCCCCTTACACAAAGGCTCAGGGAACGGGAAGGGTGGGGAGCACGAACCCGCCGGCCCCTACAGGCAGCGCACCAGGCCCACCGCCGTCGCCAAGGCAACCCGCCAAAGGTCTCCCCTGAACGGGCTCGAGGCCTTCCAAGCGCTGCTCTCACCGTGACTCTGTATCCAAGCAACGTCCTTCTTCCCGTGAACCTTTTGCCCGCGCGCCCGCTCTCTCTCTCTCTCTCTCTCTCTTGCTGTCTCCGCCCCTAGACGTCGTCATCGCTGCCGGCCAATGGTCACGTGAGGCGGGCGAGGCGCGCGCATGCGTGGTTGCGTGCGCAGGCCGCGCTCCCTCCTCCTACGCCTCCTGCCATGCACCCACTTCCGGCCTTGCCCGTCACAACTTCCGCCGCCCCCCTCCCCTCGACTTCCCGGGAATCCTTTTCCGGGTTCTCGCCCCTCCGCGCTGCATGTCGGGAGCGCCCTCTTTCATCCCCTCCCTCCCTCCGACCCAGCAAGCTCTCCTGGGGCGCATGCGCAGTGACAGCCTCCCATCTTCCTCCCAGCCAGAGAGAGCCCTCAGCAGCAGCAGCAGCTGATGATGAAGAAGAGAGAGAGGAGGAGGAGGAGGAGGGAGAGGGGGAGACTCGGGGCCACCCTTTATTTATATTGTTAAAGGGGCAGAGCACTCATTCCGCCCGGCGGGGCTGGCGCTGAGGGGAGGAGGGCTTGGGCTGATGAGAGGGGATTGAGTTTCTCCCTCAGCCCCAGAGAGAGAGAGAGAGAGAGAGAGATTGAGGAAAGGAGAGTTTCTTCCCCCGCTTCGGCCGTCAGGGCAGGTAGGAAAGGGACCCAAAGCCTCTTAGCAACACAGCAAGGGCTCCTTCCTGCCTTCCTTCTCTGAGGCTGCTGCTGCTGCCACTGCTTGTGGCCCTGGCTGGAGGCACAGGCAGGAGCAGCCCCTGCCTCTCTCTCTCTCTCCCACCCCTCTGCTCTCCCCTCCTCCCCCTTTATTACCCTTTGTGTGTCTCTCCCTCCACTGCTCCAGGAGAGGAAATAAAAGTGGGGTGCAGCCAAGGTAAGCCTGCCTTATCCCTCTGGGGGGGAAAGGAAGGGAGGTCAGGCAAGCGGGCAGGGACTCCCACCCCACCATTGCAGATCCCTCCCCAAGCAGGGCAGCCTGACTGCCTCTTCCCCTCATAACACCCCAACTGGAAACATTATCATTATTATTATTACTACACTCTCTTGGCTATTTTTAGTGGGGGAAGTGTGGCTTGTTTTTCTTTAGAGTGGCAGATTGAGGGGTGCCAATGTTAGGTCTGATTGGTAAGATGACAGTGTTTGCTGACTACTTGGATAGAGAGAAAGGTCTCATGTTTCCTCTTGGTTTTATTTCTTCTTCTTCTTCTTCTTCTTATTCTTATTCTTATTATTATTATTATTATTATTATTATTATTATTATGTTCCCTCTTGGTTTTATTTCTTCTTCTTCTTATTTGTTTGCAGTGGTTGTTATTTGCATGGTGTCTTGATTCTGATACACACAAACGTCTCACAGATTGACTGGAGTGTGTGTGTGTATGGTTTTCTTTGAAAATATTTGTTTATTTACAACATTTATATCCCACCCTTCTCACCCCAAAGGGGACTCAGATCAGCTTACTATATATATATATATATATATATATATATATATATATATATATATACACACACACACACACACACACACACACACACATACATAAATACACACATATACAATATATTATATTATTAGCATAGTACAATATCACTATTATATATTGCTATGTTGTACTATACTATTATAATATTATTAGTAATATTACATGTAATGTAAAATATATTATTATTATTATAGAAAAATTGGATCAGTTTTAGTGGGAAATTTCATGCTCTCTCTTGGATTTGTTTATTCCTTATCAGATATAGTCTGATGTCTGAAGATTGTGGTGTCATTTTTTTGTTTCTTTGCTTTTATTTCTTTCTATTATTATTATTTGGTGCCAGTGGTTGTTGTTTGCATGGTGTTGTTTCTCACAGATTGACTAGTATGTGTGTAGGGGGGGAGGGTTACTTTGAAAATAGAAGAATTGTATCAGTTTTGGTGATACTTGGATAGAAGGAAATCTCATGTTCTCCCTTGTATTTGTTTATTCCTTATCAGATATAGTCTGATGTCAGAAGAATGTGGTGTCGGGGTTTTTTTGTTGTTGTTGTTTCTTTTCTTTTATATCTTATTATTTGGTGCCAGTGGGTGTTGTTTGCATGGTGTCTTGTTTCTGATATACACAAAAGTCTCACAGATTGACTGTTGTGTATGTGTGTGATTTTCTTTGAAAATAAAATAATTGTATCAGTTTTGGTGATATAGAAGGAAATGTCATGTTCTCTTGGATTCGTTTGTTACTTATCAGATATAGTCCGGGGTCAGAAGATTGTGGTGTTGTTTTTTGTTATTGATGATGAGGGTTTCTTTTCGCTCTCTTATGGTCTTCCATGCCTTTTTTCTGATATATATAAAAGTCTCACAGATTTCTATTGACTGGTGTATCTCATGTTCTCATGGTCTCTCTTGGATCTCATGTTCTCTCTTGGATTCATTTATTCCTGATTTGTAACCCTTTTGGTACAGAGTGATCCATAGTCAAAAAAAGGTTGCAGACCACTGTTTTAAAGGAATAATTGTATCTGCTGTGATATCAGGAAGTTACTATTAACTAGTGTATGTATAGGGTTTTTTTTTAAAGGAATCATTTTCTCAGTGTTGGTGATAGGACATTTATACTGTTGACTAGTGTATTTGTGGTTTTCTTTAAAAAAACATATAAATTATTATAGTATCAATTTTGGTGATTTCAGGATGTGTATGCTATTTACTTGTGTTATGTATATGTTTTTAACGAATAATTGTATCTGTTTTGAATATATCAGGAAGTTTAGCCAATTATCTGATGTGCATTAATAGAAATACCTTTGTCACTTTTTAGTGATATCAGGAAGTTCAAACTATTTATTGGCATGAGTATTTTTTTAAAAGTATGATTTTATCTTTATAGTAAAAGCAGGAAATGTATGGTATTGACTGGTGTATGCATTGTTTTGTTTCTTTAATAATATCAGTTTTGGTGATACAAGGAAGTTTCTATTATTAATAGTACATATGTGGTTTTCTTTTAAAAGAATTATGTATTCAGTTGCTGATATCTAGATGATATACTGTGTGAACAAATCAAAATATGACATAGAAATTTTTTTTGATTTCTGAAGTGCTGTTGGAATATTTTGTTATGAATATTAACTGTTGAAATGAAAACACTTTCCTTTTTAATGCTTCTATTTCTGCATCTATGTAAGATTTTCAACCTACTCAAGAATTATTATTATTTTGAAATTCATTAAGAATAATAAAAATAATAAAGATTGAAATATTCTCAATATTATAGCGTCACAGAAATGGTTTAAAAATTGTAATTTCCCTTTAGTTAAACATCACATTTGCTTATTTGATGCTGAGAATTAAAATTCTCAGTCCCACATGTATAACTCCCATTTAATTTGTGTCATTTTCTTTCGCTTGACCACTTTGAAAGTATATATTTGGTTCTGAGTTGTCAGAGTAGAAAAAGGAACTTGGAAAATATATTGTTGGTTACTAAACACCTTTGGAGCAGCTTGGGTGGTTTCAGTTGCGGGTCTTTTTGTTTTTATTCTGAAATAATTTGTTTAAAGTGAGAGGATATTGTGCTGTCCATTTACTAAAGCCTGTAAGATGTGTCTGTACTGTGATACATGCACAGATGGCCTATGCATTTCAATAGGCCCAGAGAATCAGAAGCGTGCAACTAGAGATGTGCTCCTTCCTTGCTATAATGTCTGAATTGAACTCGACACACAGTTGCTGCATTCTGAAAATAATCACTGATAACATAATTTATAGGCAAATTATTCAAATCTGGATGGCAAAATAAAATAAGATCTTTTGGTCAAGTCAGAAATGGTTTTTTATCAGCAAATGTGGGAGAGAACATGAATGCAAACATTGTAGTAAAGCTTGAACTATATCTTTGAAGAACTGTTTGCCTTCAGTATTCAGAGTAGGAAATCAAGGTATGATGCTCTCTGATTAACAGAGAAGAGCAGTGTATGAAGGAATATTTCTTTTATATGGATGCCTGTTAGCTTTTCAGTGTTAATAAAAGCAGAAGCTTCCAGGTAAGACTAGTTCTGAGATCATGTTTTAAAATAATGTTTCATGGATTCTTTCTTTTTTATGAGGGTTATCACACACGGAGAAATGCAAGTTAGGTTTGCATGTATACATTCAAATATTAACCTGACTTACAGTCTGTTCTTGGCCCAAATAGGACTCATTGACATACAGGGGGAATTATTTTGGTTTTTTAAATGACTGACTAGTTCAAAGGATAGAAATATAATATATTCAGCAAAATCGTTATAGACCTGAAGTTTATCTTTTGAGTATAGAAATCAGCATTTTTATTTATATTTTTTACACTTGAAGGGAATTAATTTCTAGTGTTAGCCATTTCAAGTTCAGTACAAATTACTTTAGCAGATTTCATTTCAAGTGGATGGGTACATGATCAGGGTTTAATACTAAAATTCTACAAATGCATACTTCAGAGGAAACCTCCATGAACTACACAAAATGTGTCCTATAATTATGTTTAATATTTATTTGTTTATAATACTTGTAACCCATTAACATATTGAAATATCTAATGGATTTCAGTAATAATGTGTGATAACTGACTTGCTGCTAACCAGGTATAAAACAAAATAGTAGAATACAGTGAGTACTTTCAAAACCCATGGCATTATTCATTTTAAAGCTTAATTGTGTCTTCCATTTCTACAATGCAATATAAATGGATTATTGGAACTAAAATGCACATGCAAGCTCTTGAAGAGCTGTAGCCAGGTGTTAGGGCATGCTCTTGTCAAGTCGTTTTTGCTTAGTACCTGCATTTCTGGGTAGACAGAAACAGATAGCCTATTATAGTAGTTATCAGTCCTTGGTTTTCTAAAACATTTGGGTCTCAACTTCAAGAAACCACAGTAAGTATAGCCAATAGTCATGGAATCTGGAAGTTAGACCAAAATATCTGGAGACCAAAGATGGAGAACCACTGCTCCGTAGTAGGTTTGTGTAAGATTTTGATTGAGAAAGTAGCCTGCTTGCTTAAGAACCTTACATATGTTACGAAGGCATGAAAGCTTCACATGTACAAGAAAATAACTAGTTTTAACACTAAAATGGTTTAAGCCAGGTGTCACCATAATTTTTGAAATGCTTTCTTAGAAATCACATCTTTGATTGCAAGTACTTAAGCCATATACTCTAGGTTATTTTGTCATTAATAGAACTGTACAATAAATGCCTTGAGAATTACAGTGATGTTGTGTTATAAGCCCACTTTTTTAAAGAGCAGAATTGAAATCACTCCCTCAAATTGATCCAACATCTGATTCTGGCAAGTCAAAGAAAAGCCAGTTGATTCTTATGCATGTTCAATCAAGAGTGAGTGCCATTGACATTGGGAAAGTTTTATTTTAAGTAAACAAAAATAGCTTTTTGTTTTGTTTTTTGGTTATGCAAGCATCCTAGTTTCTTTTTTCTGCGTGAACCACAGAACCAACTCAAGCTGAGCTGTCAATATGTCAGTACATTGTTCCTCTAACACTGCTGTTTGTAATGTTGTTCTAGTTTTGCTGGTAGTTCACTTGTTGTATTCAGCTGCGGCAAACACTGTGAAAAGACCAACATATTATACTATACATTCATGTGTGTGTGTAGAAAAAGAAAGGGTTATTGGGCCAGTTCTTAAAGGATGGGCTGTTTTGACTGGTCTTCCCCACATGAACCTATTAAATGAAACTTCAGATCTTTAATACTGCCATTTTCTCACATTTTTTGGTTTTATAGGGTATTGACTTTTTCCATAAAATACAGTTTTTTTTATTAACCTAAGAGTGGCATTGTTTCAGTCATGTAAAATAAAATGGATGGTAGCCTTTGGCAAATGGCA